TAAGGGAAAAAAGGGGTCTCGAACCCGTCTTCCAGGGCAGCCGCCGACGTCCTGCGCGAGAATTCCGCGTTAGGAAAGTGCTGATCAAGGCGCTGGCGGCGAGGCCATTGGGCTGGATCGGTCCCGTAGTCGCCAGAAGTTCGGCGCTGGGCGGCATTTCGAGCATCGCGAGTTCGCTCGCGCTCGGGCTGATCCGGCCGAAGGGGGGGCGGCATCGTGGTCTTGCGGCCCCCAACTCGGCAAACAAGTTCGCCGTAGACCGCGCGCGCAGCGCGCTCCGTTTGCAGACCGCCCTGGCGGACTCGTTTACACTTCCAAGCTCAAGCCAGGCGCCGCAGGCCATAAAGAGGAGCGCAAATTAAAATGGCGCCGCAGGCTCCCCGGGCCGTCCGCGCACAGACCACAATAAAAAAACATCTATCACACACCACTAGGGTGTGGGGGAGCTCCGATCTCCCCACCTCCAATACTCTCCAATCCACAGCGTCGCTACATCTTAGGCCGGATCCAGTCAGATCTCCGATCTCCATCTTCAATCTCCAATCTCCAACGTCGTCATCTTAGGCCGGATTCAGTCAGATCTCCGATCTCCATCTCCAATCTCCAATCTCCAATCTCGATTCGGGGGCCCGGGGGAGGAGGGGGGCTCAAACCTTCAAGGAGATGCGCTATGGATTCATTCACACTGACCAGCTCTCATCTCCAATCTCCAATCTTCTACTTGGCCACTGTCGCCGGCACCGCTCGACTTGGGGCAAATGTAGATTTCCTGCCCAGCGTAAGGATATTTCTTTCATTTCTTTCGTCTTTATTTCGTGCCCAACCACGGCAAATTTGCGAGAAATTTCTTCGCCCCGTCACTCCATGCTCAAGTTTCGCCCCTTTCCGTGTAAGGAAGGTGTCCCCCATGTTGGACCAGGCACCGTGCGGGCCTGCCGTGCCTTGCTTGAGCCGGCAGGCCCGCGCGGCAGTGATGGTGCGCCTCCGCGGAGAGGCTGACGCTGGTCATCGGTCAGCGGTCAGCGGTCATCGGTCACCGGTCAATCAAGCGGGTCATCGGGCGTCAGTGTCATTCAGGCGTCAGTGTCATTCGCGTCAACACAGGTATGGTAAATTTCCGGAAATTTCTCCTTCCGAACAAGGCGGCATATTTCTCAAAATATTTCGGGAAATCTGCATTTGCCCCAACGCTCGACCAGGTAGCCAGATCGCCATCACCTTTTTATTGAGCTCGAAGGCTTCCTCCTCTACTCCTCGGTCTCTGCCGAAAGGCGCTCTCCCAGCCGGGCCCCCTCTCGATTCAATTCAAGACAGCTCTGCAGCGGGCCGATACACATGGAGCTCGCAGCCGGCGCTGGCGTAGCCGCGGCTGCGGCGGCCGGTGGGGCCGCGTACCTGCGTAGTCGACGGGGCCCGGCGTCTGGCAAGGAAGGCACGACCAAATGGCAGTGGCGCGCGGCTGCCGTGAAGGAGCGGCGCGCCCTGTGCATCTGCTGCTCCTACCCGGGGACGCAGTGGGCGCTGCCGGGCTGTGTGCCCGACCAGGAGGCCATGGTCAAGACGCTCATACGTAACAGCTACGCCGTCACCTTTCTGGCTGACCACACACCCGCCTGGGGCCAGCCCAAGCCGAGCGCGCTCAGCAATCGCCGCAATATCCTCGCCGAGCTCGAGGCGCTGTGCCGCTGGCTCCACGCGGCTCCAGGCAGGCAGGGTTGGGTCTCGTACTCTGTGAGAGCTTTGTAGATGCCATGCCGGGCCTCATGCTGGGTGGGAAGAGCTCTCTCAGATCCGCCCTTCGCCCCCCTCGTGCGTCGACAAACCTCTCCGCCGACGCCTTTTCAGGGCCACGGCACGCAGACTGCCGACCGCGGCGGCGACGAGGCAGACGGCCTCGACGAGGCCGTGCAAGGTGCGACCTTACACCCTCCTTTTTTGCGTGCTCACCGCTTGCCTCTGTTCCGCAGGCGATGGTGCCCTGCGACTTCAAGATGGCAGGCCTGCTGACGGACGACAAGCTCCGCACGACCATCCGATTCGGCGCGGGCTCCTCGCTCATGTTCTTCTTCGACTGCTGCCACAGCGGCACGATCCTCGACCTGCCGTACACGCTGCGCCACACCCTCTCCGGACCCGAGTACCCGATCGAGACCGAGGCGGGCGCCATCTTTTGCATCTCGGCGAGCAAGGACGATCAGTCGGCCTACGAGACGGCAGAGGGCGGCGTGTGCACGCGCGCTTTCCTCGGCGCATACACGCCCTCCGTCTCCCCGGCGGCGACGCTGCGACTGATGCGCCGGTACGCCGAGCGAAAGGGGATGCCGCAGACCATCATGATGGCGTCAAACCGTCCGTTCACCGAGGCGGACGCCTCCTTCGTTGAGGCTGAGCCCGAGGGCGGCGGGGGCTTTTGCGCCGCCTTTCACCGCTGCCAGAACCGGCTCGGCTGCTCAAAGGGGCGCAGCAAAGCAGGCAGCGGGGGGGGAGAGAGAGAGAGAGAGCGAGGGAGAGCGAGAGGGGGCGGGGTGGGGGAGGCGCCGGGGAGATGCTCGAGCGGGGCCGCGCTTCGTGAGAGAGAGTGATGCGCCGGGGCCCTCTAGGCGACTTTGGCGGCGAGAACCCAGCGGCGCGGAGTCTCGAGCTGAACAGAGGGGAAGCATCTGGGCGCGGGCCCAAGCTCCATCCCAGCTGCCCCGACCCGCTCTCGACCACGAAGGGGCGCGCTTACGTCGCCGCTCGCCGTGCGAAGCTGGCGGCGCCCCCTCCGTAGGGCCCGAGAGGCAAGGCGGGGACCGACTCTGTCCGCGCAGAGTGCGAGGACACAGGTAAGTCGAGAGGAGGGGGCGAGGAGCGACGCCGCTGACGGGAGCGGAGATTCGGGAGCGATCTCGGCGCGCGTTGCGGGCCCCGGAGTGATCGACATATCCTGTCCGATCGAGAAAAAGCGGCTGAACCAACGGTCCACGCACTGCGCGCGTGTGCATTCTATACATGCACACAAAAACAACGTCGAGTATCTCCCCCTACCCCTCCCCTTGCGCGCGCGTGAACACGACTCTCATAGACACCATGTCTCCCTGCGGCGTCCGCTTCCGCACGTCGATGCACATGCGACCGTCCGCGGATAGCGTGCGGCGGCAGATGGAGAGCTCGACCTCGCCCTCCGCGCCGCCCGTCCCCGCCGCCGTCTCCTTGACGACGAGCGCGCCGCCCTCGCGGAAGGCGCGGTAGCGAACGGGCCGCTTGTTGTCACCTTCGCCCGCGACAGCGCCGCCGTCGAGGGGCAGCACGAGCTCAGACGAGCCGCGGATGTCGCGCGTGACGATGTGTAGTCGGCCCGCCTTCTTTGCAATCACCTGCACCTGCCCGGCGCGCAGCACCGCCGCCCGCTGGAGCGGGTTGAACCCGAGGCGCTCGAGGAAGCGCTCCATGTCGTGCCGCTCCTCCATCCTCCACGAGCCCGAGAAGTCCTCCGTTTCGCCCATCAGGGACTGAACCCGGCGCCAAGCGTTGCGTGACTGGACCCAGCTGTCGAACCCTCGCAGCCGCTGCAGAAGCGGCTTTTCGAGCTGCTGCACGCGCGCCGCCGCCATCGCCAGGATCTCCTGCGCCTCAAATGTCTGCACCGGGAGCAGCCGGATCGAGCCGAGCGGCGGCCGACCGAGCGACCCCTTGAGCGCCTGCGCGGTGAGGCGTCGTAGGTCGCTTGCGCTCTGCACTCGCGCACTCTCCAGCTGCTCGACCACCGCCGCGATCTTCTGCCCTGTCCACTCCACGCCGCCGACCAGGCCGTCCATAAAGGCCCGGAGCTCATCGGCAGGGTTGGGCGCCGCGGGCTTGGCAGGGCGGGGCGAGACGACCTTCGCGGAGGGCGCCGCGGCCGTGCTGGGCGATGCAGTGGTGAGCAGAAGTGTGGCTAGGAAGCTGCTGTAGACGTCCATACTAGTACCCGGTATGCGCCCAGGACAGGACGGGGTGCCCGCAGCAGCCTCGTTGAGCCAGAACGTCGGCTCGCGAGGTGGGTGAGTATGAGCCCGCTGAGGCGTAGTGCTGCAGAGGCCGGTTGTGGTGCACTAACCCCGAGAAACCCTCGCGACACTCCCTCTTTCGCAAACCCTTGTGTTGCTGTGTGCTGCACGCCCTGCGAGCGGGGCGGGGTGCGCACTGTCCCTCTGTGTTCGTGCGTCGCCCATCTCTCCTGGAGATGTCTGCTCTATTTATTACCCTGTCAGCAGTCCTCCTCCGGGAATGTACGTAACCGTAAGAGCCACATACATTGAAAAAGACAAAAAGACTCATCTAAGCATGTCGGAGAACCGTCCAAAGGCGGGTGCAGTCGCCCCTTGATCTGTCGACAGCACGAATTTGTGATGGGACACCATCGGGACCCAACAGTGCGATACTTGCTTGGCATCGCACTGTTGACGTACCGGCGGCTAAGGCCGAGTAGCCGGTGAGCGGTGTTCACAGAGCTCTGTGAACACCGGCGAGAGATTTTTCTCTCGACGTTTCTTCTGCGAAGAAACGTTCAAAACACTCGGTGTCGAAACACCTCTCCGACGCGCTCGACTATAGTCTAGGTACCTAGCTAGGTACCCGGGACAGTCTGTTGCTGGGCATTAAGAAAACGTGCCATCAAGAAACCACGCCGCGCCGCAGAGAGGACGAAACGACAACAACACGAAACGTTCGACGGCGGGGCCGCAGCCAAAAAAAGTTAGGAGGGGAGGCCGGGCCCCACAATCGTCGCGTAACCATCGGAAGGCGAACAGGAGGGAGGACCGGGGGGAAGGGAGAGCCCCCTTCGGAGTGGGGGTAAGGCCGCGCGCGGAGCGGGGGGTTCCGAGCGGTGATGTCAGTGAGGAGTGTGTGTGTTGTCGTGCTAGTGCCTGGTGTCTACTAGCTCCGAGTAGAGGGGGCGTTCCGCTGCTAGGGGAAACCCGGAGCGCAGAGCTAACTCTCGCGCCTCGGAGACCTAGTCGGAGACCCGTGTTTACTTTACGGCCCTTTCCCTGCGAACCCGAACGCGCACCCCCCCCTAGGGGTCAGGGCTTTCTTGCCCGTAGCCCGATGCCGATCATCTGGCCCGCTGGGTGCGCTTCTTAGCTCCCCGGCCCTGGATGTGAGGTTGATGACTGCACTCCAAGTGCTCCAAGTGCGTTTCCGGAAGTTTCCAGGGAAACCAGAGGGGGGGGGTTTGGAGCTCCATGCTCTTTCTCTCGAGAATTGTGTTGTGCGACCGCCTTTTGTTGTAAATTTCTCCTCGAGTTTCCCTATAGTCTATAGAGCTCTTCCCTAAGCAAACTCGCGAGTTTCCCTGAGCCTGAGAGCTGAATCTGGGGCAAAATAAGAGGCAAAATCGAGGAAACCGGCACAATACCGGGTATTTTTCAGGTATACTCGCAAAACACCCAGGTATTTTGCCGTTCGGTCGGCTGATTTTGGGCCCAAAGCCCCAAACCAGCCTCATCGACTCGGTCGGCTCAGAGCCCGGAAAATGTGATGGTTTCCCCGGAAACTATACTCTATAGAGAGGAAACGAGAGGGTGCTGTAGAGAAACACGAAAAGAAACGAGGCAGGCTGCGAGAGGAAAACTATAGAGACAGCCTACAAGGCAGCATCGAGCAGACATGCATGCATGGGTGGGGCTGCTCAGTCAGGTATGTTCGTCAGAGCTCCATATTTAGAAAAGTGTCCAACAATGAGACGGCTTTGCCTGCGCGCCGCCGCCCCACAGTGGTGCGCGCCAGTCCCGTGCCTATGTGTCGTGTGCGAGCTGTGTTCTTTAATAATATTTAAGGACGCCATCCCGACTGAATCGGGGAGTGTCGGCTTTGCGCTCGGCAGCCTTCGGTCGCAAGATGCGCGCCGCGACGTCGCTGTTGAGGCGGGTTGGCGGGCGCGGCGCAGCAGCTGCCGGTGGCGGCACGCTGCTCGGCAGGAGATGGCTCTGCCTGCCGCCGCACTCGCTGCTGCCGATGCCTGCCCTCTCGCCCACGATGACGCAAGGGAACCTTGTGACGTGGAAGAAGAAGGAGGGTGACAGCATCGAGGCGGGCGACGTGATTGCAGAGGTGGAGACCGACAAGGCGACGGTCGACTACGAGGCCGTGGACGACGGGATCCTCGCCAAGATCCTCGTCCCCGAGGGCACAGAGGATGTCCTGGTCGGCACCAGCGTGGCCGTCGTCGTGGACGAGGCGGGTGATGTCGGTGCCTTCGCGGACTACGTGCCGTCTTCGAGCACGGGCAACAAAGCGGAGCTGGCCCCCGCGAAGCCCGCGCCCGCGCCCGCGCCCGCCGCCGCCGCGCCGCCGCCGCCACCGGCGGGCGTGGTGGCCGCCGCAGCGCCGAGAGCCGCTGGCGCGCCTGTGCCAGCCAGTCCGCTGGCGAAGCGGATGGCGGCGCAGATGGGGATCCCGCTTGCCGCCCTCAAGGGCACCGGCCCGGGCGGCCGCGTCATCGCCGCGGACGTCAAGGAACCGTCCGCAGAGGAGGCGACGACGGCAAAGGGAGCCGCGCCCGGCGCGGCTGTGGTGCCAGCCGGTGCGGAATACATCGACCTGCCGAACTCGAACATCCGCAAGGTGCGATACGGGAGCCCCTCCGCCCCATCCCCGGCCCCGCGTCGGCCACTCTTCGCCCGACACTAAAGCGCCCGCGTTCGGGAGCCGGGCGGGGCACGCACACCCATCACAGACGTCTGGTCGCAGCTTTTGCGTTGCCCGTCACTGCGACCACATCTACATATTGAACCTTCAGCCAGCTCCGGTCCGACCGCGTCGCGCACTGGCCGCCGCGTAGGTGACCGCGAAGAACATGGTCAAGAACAAGAACGAGAACCCCCACTACTACGGTGCCGCCGCCGCCGCTCGGAGCCACGCGACGCAAACATTCCGCACCCACCACCAAATCGCCCCACCCGCCCCGTCCCGGCTCTAAGCACTGAGCCACCCTCTTTAGTGCCCGCGAAGTGCGACGGCGCTCTCTCTAGCACCCTCTCGCCCCTCTCGCCCTCCCACCCGTCCGCCCTCCCGCCCTCCCCCTCTCGCTCTCTGACCGGGGCGTGCGGCTGCCTCCCCGTCTTGCGCAGTCATGATGGAGATCGAGATGGGTGCTTTGATGGGCGTGCGCAAGTCAATCAACGAGGCGCGTGCAGCCTCGTGATACAGCCGAGATCACGCGAGGGCATCCGAGACGCAGCCGAGCCCCCCCCCCCCCCCCCTCTCTCCCGGACCTCTGCCACACCCTCGCCTCCGCCGCCTCTCAGGCGCTCGAGGCGAAGATCTCCGTCAACGACTACGTCATCAAGGCGGCGGCGCTCGCGCTCAAGGAGGTGCCCGCGTGCAACTCGTCGTACACGGACGAGTACATCCGCGAGTGCCCCTAGATGCGGAAGCCACGCCCGGTACTCGTTTGGAGGCCGCCGCGCGATCTCAAGACACGCCGTGTTCAACCCTGTGGCCGCCGTGTCCGCACGAATGCTCGAACATGTGGCCTGGTCGAGGCGCTGTGCGATGTGGCGTTCACGCCGTCCGTGCTCTCCGACTTGTAGGCCAGTACTCCGCCGCCGACATCTCGGTCGCCGTCAACACCGACCGGGGGCTGCTCACGCCAATCGTGTTTGGCGCCGCCTCCTCAAGGTGGGTCTTTGAAGATATGTGGAAGGCGCCCACCAACGCGGGCTACTGTGAACAGGTGCCGACTCCAAGTCTGTCCTCGACATCTCGAAGGACGTCAAGGCACCGCGGCGGCCAGTCCCCCTCCACCGTTGCGCCATTTCTCTCTCTCGTCCCGTCTCTTTCTCTCTCCTCTCTGTCTCTCTCTCGCTCTCTCTCGCTGCTGCTCTCCTCGCTGCATCCCACTCCACCTCGCCACCGCCGCCCCTCGCCGCCGCCCCTCACCGCCGCCTCCCCGCCGCCGCAAAGACTCTCGCGGGGTTGGCCAAGGAGAACAAGCTCAAGCCCGAGCAATTCCTCGGCGGTACTTTCACCATCTCCAACCTCGGTGAGCAGTTCGACCTGCCTGCCACCCATTCCCCGAGGACTCACGGCTAAAGGGGAAGCGCACACGAGACACGCAGTCGCGATCGGCGACCCGGACTGCCGGCCCCGCCCCGGAAGGCCGCCCGCCCTCACCTCCTCTCTTCCTCTCTCCTCCTCCTCCACAGGATCGATGGGCGTCAAGCAGTTCACCGCGATCATCAACGCGCCGCAGGTGAGATTGGCCAAGGGCTCACGAGATTGGCCGAGAGTTGCCGAGAGTCGCCGAGACTCGCCGTGATTGGAGGAGACGATCCGGGCATTCAGCTATGTGCCGCAGGTGCTCGCGAGCCGATCGTACACACCCTATTGCACACACGGCGGCTGCCAAAGCGGAGACACCCCAGCCTAAAAATTCCCCATCCCGGGACACGGCTTTTCATGGTGATGCCCCTCGCAGGCGTGCATCCTTGCGGTGGGCGGCGCGGACGTCAAGGTTGTCCCTGACGGCAAGGGCGGCTTCACGACAAAGTCGGTCATGGTCGTCTCGTGCGCCGCCGCCCGCCTCGCCCTGCTCCTCGCCGCCAGCCCTTGCGAGACGGGGCGGCGGCTGACCCCTCCACCACCCCGCCGTTTGCAGCCTCTCGTCGGACCACCGGGTGGTGGACGGCATGATTGCCGCCCAGTTCCTCAAGTCGTTCAAGAAATACATGGAGAACCCGCTCCTGTTGCTCCTGTCTGCTCCCTAGACCTCAGCCGCCACCGCCTCACCGCGGCCCGACACCGCAGGGCGGGCACATATTTCGCGGGACACCACTCTTTGTCCGCGTCTTTGGAGGGGGGATGGGAGCACGCAGGTCAGGGGTCACCGGCATGAGGGGGGGGGGGGGGGGGGGACGCAGCCCGCAGGAGCGAGAGTGTGGTGGGATATGTGGAGACTCTCGAGCTTGCGCGCTGGGGCCGCTGCCGCCGAGCGCCGTCCGTGGGCGGTCGGCGCGCGCAGGGGCGTAGCGCGCGTAGTTTTCTCGGAGACGGTTTCGAGTGTATTTACACTGTAAAGACCCGCGACGAGTCGGAAAACGAGGAATGCAGCGCGTCGTATTACGTAAGCCCACGCCCGCCCGCCCGTGCGCAGCAAGCACATACCTTCCTGCGAGTCGGAAGCACATTGGAGAACCCGCATTCGTGTGTGGATGTCTGCACCCCGCAGCGACACCCCCCGAGTTCCCGTCTCCTCGACGGCCGGCGCACGAGGCGCCCACTCCGGCGCGCGGCCTCGCCAGCGGGGCAGGCCGACGGAACCGCCCCCTTATGAACGCGGCTTCTCCTTCTTTTCACGGTACAGCGCGAGCAGCGCGACGCCAGACACCTTCACAACCTTGAACCGCACGCCGGGAATGTCACCGACGGCGTGGCCCTTCCGGCCGAAACCCGCGATCAGCACCTCATCCTGCGAGGGGCGGGCGGCGCGGCGTCAGCAGGCGACGAATCCAAACCAGCGGCGTCAGCAGCGACGAATCCAAACAAGCGGCGGAGGCCTCCGCGCACTGCCCTCTGCTGCGGCGATTCACATACCGAGGTGCCACCAGAGTCACCAGAGCCACCAACCCTGCCGCCGCCACCACCACCACCCTCCCACACGCCGCCTTTGCACTGCCGGCCTTCCCTCTGTGGTGTCCCCGCGTCTGCGCTGGGGGCGGGGGGTAGTGTACGTTCTCATCGATGAAGTTGAGGCAACCGTCCCGCGGCACAAACGCGGCGATCTTCTTGCCGTTTTTGATCAGCTGAGCGCGCACGCACTTCCGGATAGCGGAGTTGGGCTGCTTGGCCTCGATGCCACTGCCAGGGGGGAGGTCGAGGGCGCGTCAGAGACGAGAGCTCCCTACACCGAACTGTAGCTGCGCACATCTTCTCGAGGACAATGCCCTTGCAGTGGGAGGAGCCGCCAAAGGGGTTGCACTTGAACTGCGTGCCGAGGTGCGCCTTCTTGTACCTCTTCTGGGCCCAGCGCTGTGTCCGCCGCACGGTGCGCAGCTTGCGCGCCGCGTTGACGCCGCGGGGCTTGCCTGTCGCAGGCGAGCGCGGGCTCCGTGAGCGGGGCTGCGCGTCGTTCCGACGCGGAGAGTCGTTGGGGGAGGACGGCGGAGACGCGGCGTGTGGGACGCGCAGAGAAGAGAGAGGACGGGCTGCGCAGCTGGAGAAGCGCAGAGGCTGGAGAAGCGGCGAGGAGATGCGCGTCGCGGCGCCGTCGGGCCAGCGCGGCCCGGGCGCAAACTGTGCCCGATCCTCCGCGGCGGAAGGGGGCGCGCACCGCTGCCCATGTCGCTGCGGAGTACGAGCCTGCTGCAGAGCTGCCTACGCGTGGCCAAGCGTGTGAAGAGTGGTGGTGTTTTTCTGTGAAGAGTGGTTCTCTCGAGGTTCTCGAGGTGGATATCCTTTGGCCGCGTTGGGTAGCGAGGATTGGTGTAACCCGAGCCACGGAGGCGTGTTTTCTGACGGCCGACCGTCAGTGCACGGAGTTGCCCCTTCTCCGACTGCCCCGGCTAGTTCACGAGTTTCGCGGGAGTGACCCCATGCGTCAAACCGAAGAGTGGGGTATGAAAACTTGAGTTTTCACGCCGTCTAACAATCGTGTTCGAGCGGCCCTCCTGTGAGCTGGTACACCAAGAATGGCTTACCACTGTCAGGGGCCACACTGTGGCAAGTTGTGATGAGTGTGGTTTGGCTTGTGCAGCCCATATGGACGTGGTATATACACATATACGCGGCCACGTGTCGGCCGGTTCGGGGCACCGGATTTTTCCGCGGCCTGGCTGTTGCGGTGTTTTATTTTTATTTTTGAAGGGCTGGTGGTGCGACACCGAGTTTGAAGGTTTCTCTTCGCTTCTCTTCACAGGAAAATCGTGTGAAGAAATGCGGCAAAAAACAGAAATGCCGAAAGCGTGCTATCCAAGTCTCACGCCGCGCGGACATGTACACGCATAGGGCTTTAGGGGCCTAGTCCTAGAGAACACACCCCTCCCCCGTTTCGTTCTTTTCCTAAAAAGCCCGCGAGGTGGGGTGCTAGTATGAGCCCGATACGTCGTAGTGTTCTTGCTCCAAGCGCTTGCGCTTCAACGGCGGTTAGACGTTAGAGAGTGTGTTTGTTTTGTGTGTTTGACGTTAGTGGTGCACTAACCTCCGAGAAACCCATCGGCTCGCTCCTTCCTCATCGCAAACCCTGTCAGCAGAGTGTCCTCCTACGGAATGTACGTAAGCGCCACATACACTGAGAGAGAGAGAGAGAGAGAGAGAGAGAGAGAGAGAGAGAGAGAGAGAGACGTACACTGAAAAAGCACGTACATTGACGGCATAAACAGTAATGTATATAGAGAGAGACGTACACTGAAAAAGCACGTACATTTTTTAGGTTAGGTAGGAAGGTGAAGAACAGTCAGGCTCGGACTGGACACCAGCGCGGTATGGGTGGACGCGAGACAGATGATGACGACAACGCACGAGCGACACACAGACACAAACGGGCGGTCACAAGACACACACGACACAGCCAGCTGGCTGCCACACACCCTGAGTTGGCGTACACATAACTCAGGGCCACGTCCCCCCTGTCGCCCCTCCCAGCCAGGGCCAGGCACTCCAAAGGTGCCAAGGTTAGTGCACAAACAACAGCACAACGACACAGACAGGCGACAGGGGCGAACGTGTGAGACTAGAGCAGACTTGCTCCGCCTCTAGCAATCTCGCCGCCAGCCGCAAGGCACGGACGAGACCGTGTGTGGGGTCATGTGAGGTGTCTATGGACGCCCTCCTCAGAGGCTAGCGGCCAGCCGCTAGCCCTATCTCGCACTCACGGGCAGTGACAATTCATTGGGTGAGTGTTTGCGAGCAGAAGCGCGCTGAATCTAGATCGCACGCCGTGGCATATGACTTGTGAGGCGTGCGACCGCAGCGCGCCCGCCGTAAGCTCGACGGGGCGCGCGTGTCAGCCAGAAGTTTGCCAGTAGAGCGATCCTGGTCTTTCCGAAGGCGAGCCCCGCGCCACGGGTGCCAGCCGAAAGAAAGAAAGCAGGCAACGTGGGATGGCCGTGCCTTCTTGGACCGGCAGGCGGCGGCGGCGTCGCAGAACGAGGCAGAAGAGAACGACGCGACAGAGGAGGAAATGACAAGGGAGAGAACGACGAGAGTGGGACGACCGCGAGGTGGCATGAAGGTTGCAGCGAGAATCGGCGAGAGGCTGCGAAGAGAGATAGGAAGAGGCGGACGACCAAGGGTGGGCGACGGCTAGCGCACCCCACACCCCTCTCCTTAAAATCCCTGTGTGGTGGCGGCGTGCCGTCCTCCCATCCCTCCCTTGGGTTATCCGTTTTCTTTCTTTCTTTCTTTTCTTGGAGCACTTGGAGTGCAGTTATCAACCGCACATCCAGGGCCGGGGAGCTAAGAAGCGCACCCAGCGGGCCGGATGATTGGCATCGGGTTGCGGGCAAGAGAGCCCTAGCCCAGGGGGTGCGCGGTCGCAGGGCCATAACACGTCTCCGAGGGATGGTTCCGTGTACCGGGTTACCCCTTAACTGCAGAACGCACCCTCTTCCTCGAATGTGGGGTGGGGTGTGCGGCAATTTTTTATTTTTTGTGAAACATCATTGCCACAGAGCACAGTTTTGCTCACCCCCTCCGCCCGCTTCTTTCGTCGTCTTCAGCAGACTCTGATGCCGCCCCAGACTAAGGCCCTGCCGATCGACGGGGCGAGCGTCACTACTTTTGACCGCTTCGGCGACCACCGCGGCTACTTCAACGAGCTGTACAACGAGGAGAAGTATGACGGCCTCTCTGCGCCGGGAGAGCGGTGGAAGCAGGTGTCCTTCTCATCGTCGCAGAAGCACGCGCTGCGAGGGCTGCACTGCTCGCCGCACGGCAAGTTCATCACCTGCGTTCGCGGTTCCTTCTACGATGTGATCGCCGATTTCCGCGACGGCTCGCCGACGTTTGGCCGGTGGTGTGGCGTCCTGCTCACAGACAAGAACAAGAAGCAGGAGTGCCGCCGCCGCTGAGCCGCCGTCGCCACTGCGCCGCCGCCCGTGCAGCCGCCGCGCGTGCCGCGCCCATGCGCTGTCCGTAACAATTTTTCCTTGTGCCCGGCGCCCGCAGGTGTTTGTGCCTGGCGGCTGCGGGCACGGCTTCTTCACCTTCGAGGACGACACGTGCGCTCTGTACCTGCAAGAGGGATGCTTCAACCCCGCCAAGGAGGCGTGTGCTCCGCCTCTTCCCCTTCCCGGCACTCCCGAAACTCTCCGACACACTTCCGACACCACCCCCGAGACACCCGAGACGTAAAGAAGACGCCACGCCCACCTCAGGCGGATACCCACCCCTTCGACCCGCTCGTCAACGTCCAGTGGCCGGTGCCCGAGGGGGTGGTGCCGGTGATGTCTGCCAAGGCGCCTCTCCCTGCGACTCTCTTCTCCCCACTGCCTCTCTCCTCCCACTGCCTCTCTCCTGCCTTGCGTTTCTCCTCCCCGCCATCTTCCTCCCCCCCTGTCCTTAATGCCGCCGCCCTCACCGCCGCCTAACCTACACCGCCGCCTACCCCCCCGCAAAAGGACGAGGCGGCGCCCTTCCTGTCGGTACGACGGCCCGCGCTACTAGATGCGGTATACGGAATATCTCGTATTCGGCTCTAAGCAACTCAACTGTGCCCAGCTAGTTGTATGTCATACCCTCACTTTGGTGTGCTTCCCCAGGCCCAAGTTGTGCGGCTACGCGCCGCGTGGCCGCGTGCTGGTCATCGGAGGCACGGGGCAGGTGGGCGGCGCGTTGATCGAGGCCTTTGGCGCGCGCAACTGCGTGGGCACCTACGCGGCGACGCCCGCCGAGGGGATGATCCATTTCGACCTCGCGCAGGCAGCACTCGCCGAGGGGGGCGGAGAGAAGGGAGAGGGAGGCGGAGCGAGGCGGAGAGGGAGGCCGAGGTCTGGCCGAAATGGGCCGAGACCGGATCCACCGAGGTTGGCTGAGGTTTGTCGAGGGGTGCTGACCCCTCCGTGTGTGCGCGCGCAGGCGGCGATGCAGCCGCAGCTGGCGATCGATTTGGTGCAGACTGTCTACCCGGAGGTGGAGCGACGCCTCCGAGACGCCTCCGAGAGAGTTTCGAGACACTTGCCTAGTTCCGCCGAGACAGCTCCTTCCACCGCGGCGCCGGCACCTTTGCATCACGGCCGCTTTGCGCCCGCAGGTCGTCTGCATCTGCGCCGGCTTCACGTGGGTCGACGGGTGCGAGCGCGAGCCGCAGAAGGCAAACGCGATGAACAACCGCGGCCCTGCCGTGCTGGCCGCCGCCGCGGCCGCCGTCGGCGCAAAGGTGCAGTCTTGTCGCTGCTCACAACAGATCTCCGATCACTTTTCGGGATGAGCCGTCTCCCGCCACCATCAGGTCGTCTGGTACTCCACTGACTACGTCTTCTCGGGCGGCTCGTCCTTGCCCGGCAGCGGCGGCAGCAAGGCCAACGGCGTCGCGGCGGCGGACGCGGGCGGCCCGTACGGCGAGGAGGACCCACCGTCGCCGCTCAACGTCTACGGGTCCTCAAAGCCAGATGCGAAATGCTCTTATTGCTAGCAAGCGCTCGAGGCGGCATGTATTCGGCTGTACTACTCAACCGTACTCAAGCCGTGTCCGCTGCACTCGGAGCTCGTGTGTTCTTGCGAGACACAGGGGTGCAGCGCACGCGATGACTCGTACTGTAGGTCCTCGAAGCTCGCCGGCGAAGCGGCGGTGCTCGCCGCTGACCCCTCCGCCCTCGTTCTGCGCACCAACGTCGTGTACGGGCGCCGCGAGGACAATCCTCGGCGCGGCGTGCCTCGAAGCATTCATGCTAACCTTCCCGGAGTTTTCGCATAGGCCGGAGCACGTCGGCAAGAATTTCGTGTACCAGCTGGCGCGCAAGCTGGGCAGCGGCGAGGCGATGAACGTGCCTGTCGACCAGGCGAGAGGAGCTGAGATAGGGTCGAGATTTCGAAATATCGACCCTCTCTCGCCTCAGTTTCTCTCGCCCTCTCTCGCCCTCACTCGCCCTTTCTCTCCTCTCCTGAATGCCCCTGACCCCTCCCCGCACAGATCGGGACGCCCACGTACAACCGTGATTTGGCTGATGCGACGAAGCGCCTCGTCGAGGCGGGTGCGAGCGGCTTGTTCAACGTGGGCGGCCCCGAGCCGCTCGGCCGCGTCGCATTCGCCGAGAAGGTGTGTCTTGCGACGCTCTCACGTCGTGTCGAACTTTCGGTCCCATCTCTCTGGCACATCTCGGACAATCTTACTGCGCAGGTGATCACGGCGCTCGGGGGGCGCCGCCCGCTCGACGCCGGGCTCATCAAGCCCGTGGAGACGGTCAACGCCGGCCAGGTGCCGACAACCGAGACAGCTCCCTCGCTGCCACGCCCCACTGCCACGCCTCACTGCCACGCCTCACTGCCATGGCCGCGCCACGGCCGCACCATGGCACAGCCATCGCAGTCTCGGCGCATCTCGGCGACTCAGGCGGCGTGCCGGCCCCTCGCATCGGGCCTCAAGCTCGACAAGCTGCGCGCGGCTATCCCCGACTGGGCACCACGCTCCGTCGCCGAGGCGCGACCGATTGCATCCGCTCTGCCGCCGCCTTGCCTGCGACTGCCAGCGCCCTTGCTTGCGCTCTGCCGCACGCGCCTTGCCGCCAGCGCCCTTGCTTGCGCCTTGCCTGCCGAGGGTGGCTGCTGCACGCCCCTCGCTCCCACGCCCGCTCACCCCCCCCCCCCCCCCAACGGACGGCAGGCAATCGACGATTGGCTGGCCAACCCGCACGGCAAGTCCCTCGGGGAATGAATGGATTTCCCGGAAGTGTGCCGTGGTTGCCGCCGTCCCGATCTGCCCCGACGCGAACCGCTGCATGCGGAGGGTCGCGTGCAATCTTATTCTTAACGACGGATGTGGTCCACTTCGTGCTCCCCTTGGCATAGTTGTGTGCGCGTGAGGCGCCGTCGTTCTAGTAGGTGGAGGTTGGAAACTTGCCAAGATTCTGATGTTTTTGTCCGTATTTTGCGCGCTCTCCTGCGCTCTCACAAGCGCGAACGAAGGTGCAAGGTCAAAAAAAAACTGTTCAGTTTTCACGAAGCTCGAAGGTCGAACTCGAAGCCTGAAGAGAATTTACAAGAAAGCTCCCTCGCACGACAGAGAGATGTGAAAGGCGGGAGGTCATCGAGGCGCCGGGCACCTTCCTTCTTCCATGTCGCCGCAGATCCTGCTCGCGCGGGCCGCGGGTCGTCGAGCGAGACTTTCCTAAGACTTTCGTCCCAGAACCCGAACTTCCAACACGTCGCGCTCATGTTCGCCAACATCCTTGGCGAGAGGAGCTCTGGCACAGACCTGATTTCATCGGGCGACTGGAGTCCATCGGCTCGGACTGGGGCCGAATGTGCGCCCTTCACGGCTGCCCGGAGCGCCTCAACACGTATGGCAAGTTAAAGAGGCACACGCAAGCGTGACACAGCCATGTACTATCCCTCTCTCCAGGTTGCTAGCCTCTGCTGCGAGGAGACCCTCGCGCTTCGAGTTTCGCGCCTTTCGTGTGTGCTTGTGTGTGTTTGTGCCGGCGGGGGGCTTGGTGTCGAGGAGTGTCGCGTGCAGCGTGCCAACCAAACAAAAAATAACGCGCGTGCTCAGCGGAGCTGGGAATAGGACCGCCGCAAGCGGCGTGGCGTGGAGCGGTTGAGCATCCCTCCGGGGGCCCCTCTGTCTGCCGACTACAGACACAACACGTACACGTGGCCGCGCCCTACTCCGTTAGTTTTTCCTCATATTTTTCGTCTCTTTTTTCTAGGCCGCCAGATATAAGTGGGGCGGGTTTGCAAGATAGTGCGGGGTCCCCCGCTGTCGTCCGGGGTCGTGCGAGGGGTAGGCACGACCAGTAGGGCCCCCCTCCCCCGGGCCAGGCCTCTGGGGGGAGGCGGGGGCCCCTCCTTAGGTGTACCCATGCGGGGGGGAAGTATACACGTATCACGTACTCACGTACACATTATGTGCGGCGCACACACCTCGCGACCTCCGTGGGTTCGCATGCTACAGGGGTGTCGGAGAGACTAGGGAGAGACGTCACATGGGAACCACGTGCACGTACTGGGACGTCTGGCTAAGAGCAGGCGATCACTCCACCACCGACCCCTGGGAGTGGGCGGAGGGGTAGGCACCACAGACTGGCACGCCCGCCGCCGAGAGAGCGACCGACCGGAGGGGGGGTCCGGTCCACCTCGGGGGCAGACCACCGACCGGCGGGGGGGTCCCCACGAAGTAGGGGGGGGGGGTTCAAAGTGACGCTCGTATGACGCAATGCGCGTCGCCTCGGATTGGCTGCTGGCACTCTCCAGGCTATGCCTACACAGCCTCGCGCGCATGGACAGTCAGGACTGGAGGGAGCATGCACCTTCTCACGACAGCGCCGGTGCGGCTCTCTCTTGGACCGGCAAACGTGGTGGTCTCGTGTCACCAATGTGGGACCACAGTGCGGCATCGCGTCATCGACAGCTCTGAACTGCGCCTCACCACTGACCGGGAAGGCCGCCAAGTGGGCCAGCACCGGTCGCACATTGTGGCAGCAGTCACCAGTGCGTGTCTGATAGCTAGAGCAGCAGCATCAGTCAGGGTCGCAGGGTCGGGTCCAGCTCTCGCTCGCCCTTGTGGTGGTGTTCGCCGCTTATCTGGCCGAGCTCTACACCAACCCCGCCGTCTTCCTCTATGCCGCGGGCTGTGGATTGCTGGCCGGCCCGCGCGTGGCCAGCAGTATTGCACAGGCCTCGCCTCGCCTCGCGCGGCGCGCGGGAGGCGGGACAGTGATGGCCATTTACTGGTAAAAGAGTGGGTTTTCGGCTATGGGAAACCGCCATGGGAAACCGCAGCAAAAACCCTATGGGAAACCGAGGTCTGGTGTCTGCTTTATCCAGGAATGTGAACTCCATATCAATGTTCAAATCTCTCTCGGCCTCGGCGAACGAGAGACTCCTCGCACGCGGAACGAGAGACTCCCAGCACAGCGAGCCTCAGGGAGTAAAGCTTTGATTGAAACGGCCTCACTCACTGTCCGAGTCCTCGGCTCGCGTGGTCAGCAGCCCCCGGGCGAGTCGCGGCACGACCCCGGAGTCGGTCGACTGCATGACGCCCGAGACTGAGGCATTCCAGACCGCGACGAGGAGTGCGCTCTGGTCGCGCTCACGCATCGAGCGCAGCTTTGAGGCCGTCTTGACCGCCCGCCACCCCAGCAGTGCGATGGACTTGCGGCGCACGTCCAGGTGCCGGCAGAGAGTTTGCCCGGTGGTAGAGGCAGATGCGCCGCAGCGGCTCGCGCTGTCGCGCGTGGAGTCGTCGCCTCGAGCGGAGAAGAGCCCGAGCCATCGGAAGCCATCGCCCTTCGAAGCGCCCTCCGACGCCCGTGCGCCTGCTGGCGTTTGACCCTCGATGGCCCGCTCCGCCGAGAGGGTATCCTCGACTCCTTGCTGGTACGCTGCCTGAATGCGCGCGAGCGAGACGGCGGCACACCAGCCAGCCCACGCCCGGCGCATATTGTAGCCAGCAAAGATCGAAGCGCAGTCAACGCCGCGCGTGCGGGAACCGGCGGTGGCAGCACGTCTGTCCTCCCCGCCCCGGCTGCCGGCGCCGTCTGCGATGGTGAGGTTGGGAGCCTGTGAGAGCGCGGCAACTCGGAGGGCAAAGGCGAGCTGGTGCGCCTCGCTCTTCAGCTCGCGGGCCACGCGCCGCCGTAACATGTGTGCGCTCCACGCGAGCCAGCATCGCTGGAGGGTGCGCGAGCCGCCCGCCCACAGCAAGAGAAGCAACTTTTGCCGGAGCACCCCCGACGTGAGCTGCCGGTGCCACCGATTCTCGGCGTGCGCCTCGTGGAGCAGCTGCACCAGCCGGAGGCGCTGCTGCTCGAGAGTCTGCAGCACGACCAATGGAGTGCCCGCTACGCCATCCGACGGCGGCGGCACGGTGGCTGTGCGAGCCGCGACCATGGCGGCACCGGCTGCTGAAGCGAGGAGCGCCTTGCGCCTCCAGCGTAAGGTTGCCCACGCGTAAAACACGGCGGTAAGCAAAGAGTGGTCGCGCATCGTGCACGCCGCATTCACGAGCGTCTCGCGTGTAGCCGACCAGCGCAACTCGCGGAATCCGCCCTCGCGCAGCATCCGCTGCCGCTGCAGCGCAGTGGTTGGGTCTGATGGCACGGGGCGGGCGGGCGTCAGAAAGCAAAGGAGAGGTACGGACAAGCAAGTCCGTGGGATTCAAGACGGTGGCAAGGCACCTGGGGTATGCCCAGCAGGACTCTGGCAGCCGTCTGGCGAGGGGTGTGTGGCAGTGGGTGGCAGTGGAGGGCCCGGGAGCAGTCACCTGCATCGCGCACAGCTGGAGTCTTTGCGAAGAAATCGTCGACGAAGTGTCGGCCCTCGTGGCCCCACTCCGTCGCGACACTTCGCGGCGCCTGCCCTTTGGCCGGTGAAATCCTCTTCGCATTCGGCGATGGTGGCTGCGACCGCGGACACCGAGGCGGAGTTTGCGGCTCCAGGATGGCCTCGGCAGTCGCAGAGCCCACCACCGAGTCCCGCCCGCCTTCGCGGAAACTCCCTCGCGCCTGCGACGAAGCCGTATCTTCCTGGTCGTCACCTGTTGCTTGGACGAGGGGCGCCTCCTCCTCCGCCGCCGCCCAAGGCGTGTCGCGGAGCACCCCTTCGCCCGCCGCGCCTATCGGGGGCAGGGCTGGGCCGTGCCAAAAATGTTGCACAGCGCCTGCGTCGTGAGTCCAACTAGCGACAGGGCCGTGGAACGAGAATGACGCAAGCCGTGCCGAGGCCGCAAGTCAATACACGGGCGCGAATGCTAGACACGGGCCTCCGCCGAGCGAGAGCCGCGCTGGCCGGCGGTCCGTGGAGTTGCTCCTCATGCGCCACGCGGCGGGCACCAGCCGGACCGGGTCGATGCCGTGGTGAACGCACAGACAACACAGGACCTGCCGGTCCGGGTCGGGCGGGAGGCGCGCGCCCGCACCTCGAAGTGCGAGAGTGAGCTGCTCGAGGCTGAGGTGGCGATAGGCGGCGGCGGCGACGTGGCGATCGAGCGCGCCAGGCAGACTCTCGGTATCCCGAGCGAGCGCGCCGTGCAGTGCGGGCGCCAGCCGCGTGTGCAGCTCCGCCGCCTCGCGTCGGGCCTCGGAGAGGTCCACCTTGAGTTGTGTGAAAAGTGCAAGCTGCTGCGCCGCCGGCAAAGCGTCGCCTGCATTGATCAGCTTGTTGCTGCTTGCGCCTTCTTGATCGAGAGCGCGCGCGGTGGCGGCCCCGGCTGTTGTCGGGGTAGCGTCTGGCCGCACTGACAACGCGGGCACCTCCGGCGCCCCGCCACCTCCTCTCTTACTCGCTGCAAGAGCCGCCTCAGCTGCCTCGGCGCGCCTTTGCCATGAGCGGCTGACCTCGTGCTCCTCGTCGAGCTGCGAGGCGGCGAGGAGGAGCCACCGCTGCACGTCCATCGTCGTTGTCGCCTCCATCAGCACCGCCCACTGCGCCACCCTGTTGCGCAGCCTCGCCTCCGACCAACGCACAGCCACCTCCCGGGCTTCGAGCCCCGCGGCATGGCGAGAAAGCGCCGCCGCCTGTGCCGCGGCCAGTCGGTCCGGCGCGGTGTCGCGAGGACTCGCCATGTATCCATGCACATGGACATGGGTGGCCGGTGGCCGGGGGGGTTGAGACAGGACGTTTGGGGCGTAACGGCTTGACTTTTGGTAGGCGCGTTGAGCTTGCCGCCGCCTCTGCGCCAACGCGGCCTGCGTTGCGGACTCGAGCAAAAAACCCGCGGCTGCTCTACGAGAGCGTTGGTTGTCGTCAACGGTGAGGTGCTGCGCTGGGTGCAGTGGCCTGTCAAATACACAATGCAGAACTCGGCCTCTTAGAAAAAGAAAGTCGCGCGCACGCTGATCAGGTGCAAAGGATAACATGGCGAGACGCGCAACCGACGCTGGCATCCTCGCGATGGAATGCTACTTTCCGCAGCGCTACGTCCCGCAGACGGCGCTCGAAGAGGCCGATGGATGCGCCGGGAAGTACACGGTCGGCCTCGGCCAGACGGCGCTTGCGTTCTTCGACGATCGCGAGGACATCGCTTCCGTGCTGCTCACCGCGTGCGCACGGCTGCTCGAGCGGTACGGCGTGCCGGCGTCGGCCATCGGCCGGCTCGAGGTTGGCACCGAGACGCTGCTCGACAAGTCCAAGTCCGTCAAGACGACGCTGATGGCGCAGCTCTTTGGCGCCGAGCACTCAGACGTCGAAGGCGTCTCGTCGACCAACGCCTGCTACGGCGGCACCGCCGCGCTGCTAAACTCCGTCGCGTGGGTCGAGTCGAGCGCGTGGGACGGCCGCTACGCCCTCGTCGTCTGCGGCGACATCGCCGTGTACGCGCCCGGGCCGGCGAGGCCGACGGGCGGAGGCGGCGCGGTCGCCATGCTGGTGGGGCCGGATGCGCCGCTCGTAATGGCCGGGCCTCGCGCGACGCACGCCTTCGAGGTGTACGACTTTTACAAGCCGCGCGGCGACACCGAGTACGCCACCGTCGACGGCAAGCTCTCGCAGGACGCGTACCTCGCGTCAGTGGACACGTGCTGGTCGCGGCTCAAGGTCTGATCCTGAGTCATTTCGCAACTTCAGCGCAGACGCCTTGCCTCACACACACAAAGCTATCCATCTCGGTGTCGAACCGCCAGCCCGAGGGGACGCGCTCTTACCGTTAGAGACCCTCCTAGACACCCCCGGCTCGACACTCGCGAGAGAGACCTCGAGCACTGTCCGCGGCTCAATGCCTGGCAAATCCTGGCCAACCACCCGCTGTGCGCGTCTCTAGGCCAAGCTGGGAGCGCCGGCCGCCGCAGAGCAGCTCGGCCTCAACGGGTCGCCCGCTGACTTGCGCGCGTTCGACTACGTCTGCATGCACTCGCCATACAACAAGCTCGTCCAAAAGGGCTTCGCGCGCCTCCTCTACGGCACCGCTGCCCTCGGGCAGCCGTCGGCGACTTCTGTGTTGACGCTGTCGAGGCGCGCGGCCGTAGGCGACTTCGCCGACGACGCCACCGCGCCTCGCTTCGCCGGCGACGCGCAGCGCTGGGCGGGCGTGCCTCCTGCCAAGACGGTCGGCGACCGCGAGGCGGAGAAGTGCTTCGTGGGCCTCGCCAAGCCCGACTTCGAGGCAAAGTGCGCGCCATCGGACACGGCATCGCGGCAGGTCAGAGGCTGCTAGCTTCGAGATGCTTCCCAGAACCTCCGAGACGCCTCCGAGACACGTCCCAGACACCTCACAGGTACCTCTCAGAGACCTCCTCGACACCTCCTAAGACACGTCCTGGAAACGTCCCAGGCACGTCCCTTCATTGCCTCGTGGTAGGTTGGAAACTGCTACACCGCGGCGCTCTACATGAACCTGCTCTCGCTCGTCAGCGCGAAGGCCTCCTCGCTGATCGGCGCGCGACCCCCCCCCCCCCCCCCCGTTCCCCCGTTCCCCTGCCGTTGCCCAGCTGCAACTCGGCTGCATCTCGGCCGCACCCGCGTGCAATCTCGCCGAGAGATCTCAGCCGTGCCTCTGGGCGCGTAGGTGCGCGACTGCTCCTCTTCTCGTACGGCTCGGGTGCGGTCGCCACCGCTTTCACGCTGATCGGCCGCGAGCCGTCCGGCGGCAGCGCGCTCGCTTTGCCGCCCGCTTCGCCGTTCACCCTCGAGCGCATCGCAACGACGGCGCAGCTGGCGGAGCGGCTCACTGCGCGCACGTGCTCCGACTTGCCCACCCTCACACGGGTGCGCGCTCGCCGCCGCCGCAACGCTGCGCGCACGCACGCACAAGACAGGCCGACGCCCGAGCCGTGTGGTGGTAGACGCCGTGTTAGATGGCACAACAACGGACCGGCGCGAGAGCGGAACTTGCGATGCCAGTGACTCCGTGTCGCGTGATCGAGATTTGCCACGTCTCAGGCGCTCGAGCTGCGCGAGGAGCGGTACGGCCAGGCGGGGTACGAGATCGCTGCCAACCGCATCACACACATCCCCTCCACACACTCTTTGTGTACCACTGCAGGCCCGTGAATAGGCCCAAGGTCGCCCGAGATGCCGTGCTTACTACCCGTGATCAACCGAGATCAACCGAGATTGTAGGCGGGGTACGAGCCGTCCGGAGACGTCGGCGCTCTGGCGCCGGGGACCTACTACCTCGCTGCGGTAGACGAGCTCCACCGCCGCACCTACTCGAGGAAGTGAGCCGTCGCTTCGCCACCCCCGGGGCTCCGAGCCACTCTCTAGGGCTGCTCCTCGGAGGAGGCTCCGCTCAAACAATGTTGAGCGGCGATGGCTAACAGGACTTGTTGGGAGGCGCGCTGGCCTTCACAGGAACGTCCAGTTTCCACGGAGAGGCTGGCAGAGCGGGCGAGTGTGGGGGCAGCCAGGTTTGCCCCGCTTCGCTGAAGAGCGGTCGATATGCGTGCGACCCGTCCGCGTGCTCTTAGACTTCTATTCTCGTGTCTCGTGTTCTAGCAGCATCTAGTATGCATACACCGAACATTGGACCACCGAAATCCGACCGCCGAAATTCGCACAATGTCTAGTCCGACGCCCGCCACATGACGCCCACCGCCGCCGCGTCGGTCGGCGCGCGCCGGCGCGGGACGCCGACCATCACCACCGACCGACGGCTCGCACGGCCGTGCGGTGAGCAAAAATTTGGGTCGCTGCGCGCCTGCCGGATGCTCTGCGACGTCTGGACGCTCGCCAGAAACGCCAGCAAGCTTGCCTTCCACCCCTGGGCCCGAGGGCGAACGATAGTGGTCGGCAGGCCAGCCTCTGCGACGCTCCGATCGGCTCCTCGATCTCATCGCCTGCGACGAGCCAGCATGGCTCGTCGCTCGACGGCAGCCTGCTCAGTATGCTCTCGGCATTCTGTACAGCCTCGCCAGGCTCTCTGTGACGGCCTGCAGGGCCGGCGCGGACCGCCTCGGGCGCGATGGCCCTCCTCAGTACCTACCTCTTCGATGCCTGTCGGCTCTCCAATCTCGTCGCCGGCGGCAGGCCCGCATGGCGCGCTGCTCGATGGCAGCCTGCTCAGTACGCCTTGGACAGTGACTTCTGCCTCGCTGCTCTTACTGCAGCCGCCTCCGGGGCCGGGCCGGCCGCCTCGCTTCGCCAGTGCTGTCTACGCCTGCGACACGCGTGTCGGCTCGCCGCCCGCGTCGCCCGCGGCGGGCCCGCATGGCGCGCCGCTCGTCGGGAGCGTTCCCAGCAGGCTGTGCAGGGCAGTCTGCCTCACTCAGGGCGCCGCCGCCGCTGCGCGGGGCCGCCACCGGCGCTGCTGCCGTGAACACTGCCGCCGTGTACGTCACCATCGCCTCTCCCCGTCGCCGATCTCGCCGACGCCGCTCGCCGCTCGCCGCCGCCCTGCCCTGCCCCGCCCAGCCCTCGCACAAACAAACCAACACACACACACACACACACACACACACACACACACACACACACACACACACACACACACACACACACACACATACAGACACACATACACATACAGACACACAAAACACACCCTGCCCCAACCTCGAGCGCCCCGCGCCCTCCCGCCCAACGCCCTGCGCCTCACGCCTCGCGTCCCACGCCCGCCCCGCGCCCCGCGCCCCCTCACCTCGCGCCTCACGCCTCCCTCCCCACCCTCTCAGGCATTCCTCTCCTCCCTGCTGCTCGCCGACTCCTCCTTCCCCCGCATGTTCGACGACTACCCGTCCTTCAGCGACTCCTCCCCCCTTGGCGCCAACGTCTACTACAGTACCGGGGGACCGTCGCCCTCGGGCGTACTGGCTTGATCCCAGCGGCACACGTCTACAACCCGGCGAGAGGGGGGCTCACGGGGAAGAGACCGAACTGCCGGCCGGATTACGGACGCCGAGGCCCCGCACGGGGAAGAGTCCGAACGCCTGGCCGGGCAACTAGGTCATTGAGGCCCCGCCCCTCTCCCGGAAGACGCGCGCCGGCCCGGGTGACTCGCTTGCGAGGTAGATCCCGTTCCAGCCAGAGGCCGCGTGACCACCACAGGGACTGTCTGGCGCGGGAGGGGAGATATCTAAGCCCAACTCGCCGGGCACGCCGGCGAGGTGACGGTAGATCACCTCTTGAGGATCACCTCCGCCAGACGATCACTTCCGCGGCCGCTCGTTTGGCGGGCGCGGCAACCGCAAAGACGTGGAAGAACATCGGCCTGTATCGGCGGATCCGCCTGCCCACGGGATCACGGGGAGAAGACGGGCCTCGTGCTTGCTCCTCCTTTCCGAGCGATCGAGTATGTTACGTAGCCCGTTCTTCGTCGACGTCCTCCGCCCTACGAGTATTTGCATACTTGAGCACTTGAGCACTTGATAGGGTCGCTTCCGCATGGTACGGGACCCCTCGATCGTCTCGCCCTCCCTCACAGCCTCACTGGTGTGTTCATTGGGGGGGGGTCATAACAAACACGGTACAGGATCGAGGTGCACGCTGCAGAAGCAGTGTCGTCCCCCCTCTCCCCGGCGGCGATGGCGGTGTGACCGATCGAGCTACAAGAGGAACTTGTTCAGCAGGATCCGCACAGCCTTGTTTTCGAGCGAGAAGAAGAATACCTTATGGCGCTGCGCGCTGGTCTATGCGCACAGACTTGTCGCCATTTTCCGCCCGTTTAGAAAGAAAGTTCTCCGCTCCTCGCTCCGCAGTGCAAACAAAAACAAACTAAAAATCTCTCTCTCGGCAGTGCAACGGCTGCGAGGTTTTATTGTCTCCATGCCATTCAACACGGGACTGCTAGTACCAAACCTAGAGCCTGGCCGCCGATGAGCTGCTGGTACTGGTGCGGCAACGACTGGATCGCTCGGTGGTGGGGAGAAGTTGTGTTCAGAAGGCCATGTATGCTCCCTCTCATCGCCCAGGGCAGAGACGATCCAGCTGCCGTGACCATCGCAAGTCATGGCAACGCAGGAGCAGCGGGAACGTGCGGCTCGGATCCCATCCAAGGGCGGGTGATCTATATTGACCCGGAAGCCTTCTCCTTTAGCGTAAACGTCGCTAGCCCTCGCAACGTGCTGTACCTCGGCCCTCGCAACGTATCGGAGCTAGCCATTCTAGCAACGCGGATGCGCTCCCACTTGAATTTGCACGGCGCGCGCACTATCGCAGTGCTGGACTTTGCTGCGACCGTTGGAGGTTACTCAAAAATCGTGGGTCCAGATGCCCCACCGTTTACTCGAACAGCATCAATGCCATTGAATCTCGACTGGTCAGGGCTACTTGTGCGCAATCCTGTCGCTGCATCTGCATCGTTTCTCGCCTACGCGAGCTCCCACTGCGTCCGCGTAAGAGAGCAAGCCTACAACAAGCTCGTGGAGATGGCTGTGGCAGCTGGGACTGAGGTGCCAACAGCGATTGGAGCATGTGCTGGCGATCACCCACACACGAGGGTGATACAAAGAAGCCGTGCTCTTAGAGGGCACTGGGAGCAGTGGCGTGACAACCGCGACAGGTTTTCGAGGTTCAAATTTGTATTGTGCATGGACACGTGTGGAGAGCAGCAACGTTCGCGACTACATGACGGAAAAGCTTCTGGTTGCTTTCGCATCTGGCGCCGTTCCCGTATACTGGGGCAGCGGGGGCGCTGTGTTTGAGATATTTGACAACCGCACCTTCTTATACATCGATCCGGCCGATCCCCGCCCAACTTTTCAGCGCATGCAAAGCCTAAACAAGAACTACTCTGCTTTCAAGTACATGGCCAGTCTTCCTGTCTTTCGAGAAGGAGCGGTCGACAGATACTTCTCGTTGTTTCCATCATACCCACTCGGAGGGAGCGGCGGGCTGGGACGTCGTCTCTAGTGGACGCTGCAGGGAAGTTCTTGGAAGACACCGCCGTGCCGAGACATCTCATCGTCGCGCCTCCGCCCGCTGCCACCGCCGCTGCGGCTGCGACTGCTGCTGCTGCGGCGGCGGCGGCGGCTGCGGCTGCCGCTGCTGCCCAGCCAGGGCGGTGGAGACCCAGCTCCGTCGAGACACAGTGGCTGCAACAGTGCTCGTCCACTTCAGCGTGCTGCGGCGCATGGACAGCCAAGGTGGAGCGGAGCTTTGCGGCCTTGACTCTCAGGATGACGAAGCCGAAGCCGAAGCGGCTGCAAGGGCGAGCAAAAGCGCCGCAGGCTTACGAGTCTCACTGGCCTTCCTGGAGTTGTGAGACGCTGGAGAGGATTCCAGACTCTCCTGGGGATGGGCCAAAGTGGTTGTGCGGAGCAGATGCGATCAGGCCTAAGGACTGCCTCGTGTACTCTGTCGGCTCGAATGGTGAGTCTTCCTTCGAGTTGGCGGTGAAGAAGCGCTGGCCGGCATGTGAGGTGTATACAATGGACCCAACACTGAACGCAGTGCGGCGCGAGAAGGCTGCTGTGCTTGAGGCCGCGGGTCATCTCAAGGTCGTTGACATCGGTCTTGCTGGCGCGAACGGCACCATCACCCTTGGAGGCAGGCAGTTCCCTGTGCTCACACTGGAGTCGCACGTCGAGATGCTCGGTCACAGAAACCGCCGAATCGACGTTCTCAAGGTCGACATTGAGGGATACGAATACGAAGCCTTTGCCTCGCTCCAGCCGGGGCTCTTGGACAAGGTGGACCAGCTCCAGATTGAGCTGCACGGGAGCAGTGACGAGAAAATCGACAGCTTGATCGCAGCAGTGCACGCAGCTGGCTTTTTGATGTTCAACAAAGAGCCAAATGTCCTCGGTTATCTCTTGGGCGGAGCGTGCGAGGAGTTCAGCTTTATTGGTGCCGCTCACGCGTTCCACTCTTTTCGCGCGTCTCATCCCAGTTGCCGATAACTTCGACCAAAGTGAAGCTTCCCCAAAGTGGGCCGTCCCAAATGGATGTCTCGGTAAGTTGGGGGGGCGCGGGGGGTCTACGGGGGGTCAGACCAGGTAGGGAGGACCCGCCGGAGGGGGGCACAGAGTCACGTCTGTATGGATGGCGGATGTAGCCATAACGATATGTAACATGAAGACGAGCCCGGCCCACGGGCGAGTCGCCATCACAGGCTCGGACACGCGAACCAAGACACGACAGAACCATTGCTCGGACAAAACAGGGATCTGATCGCATTCACAGAATCTCCGCTCGCCTTAGCGAGCGGATGATGTGTAGGACCGGGAATTAAGGGGTGTTACAGAGAATTTATTTTAATTGTTTCATGACGAAAAGCCTGTCCGTGCGCGGACCCCGATCGGTGTGCAGTGCGAGAGTGCAAAATGGGGTCTGACTCCCTCGCTCCTTGTCCTTCTGACGAGCGCCGCGTCTCGGGTGTGCGTGTTACGTAGCAGTTAGCGTGGGTATCACATATAACAGTCGTTTGAACTTGCGGTCCGGCGGGATCGCAACGGTCGGTGAACAATATCACATTTTATTCATTAGTGACCTTTCAAATCTCCTCTGTAAAATCTTCAAATCTGACCCCTGAAGATTTTGCCCCTTGAAAATCTTCCAATATCCTCTCCTGAAAAATCTGCCCCTCCCCCTGTAAAATCTGCCCCATGATGAGTTGCAGCCTCTCCAACGAACCTCTCTCCCCCCACAGATTGTACCCCGCCGCATTAAATCTGAAAAATCTGAAAAATCTTCAAAGCTGAATTTATTTTATTTTCTCGCCACACCTCACAGATTGTGCAACTAAATGTGGCGCTAAATTGGAGATAAAACACACTAAATATGGGCTAAATATGGGCTAAATATGGGCTAAATATGGGCTAAATATGGGCTAAATACGTGCTAAATATGGGCTAAACATGTGCTAAATATGTGCTAAATATGTATTAAATATGAGAGATATGTGATAAATACGCGCTAAAGTCTCGCTAAAGTCGCGCTATATACACCAATATACGCACTCGAACACACACTAAATAGCGCACTAAAATATCACTAAAGTGCCACCACCCTCGCCCAGGACCCTAGGTAGGACCCTCACAGATCAAGACAAAAAATTCATCACGCGCTTTAAAATTCACTTCACACATCATGCCCTCGCCTCCCTCGCCCGATGCTTCTGGCTCCGCCTTCCTCGACTGGGCGTCCAGTGCGGGCGTCGCGACATCGGCCGCATTTCTCGTCGAGCCGACTGCCACGGAGGGCTTCGGCGCTGTCGCCGGAGAACGGGTCAGTGTCGGCGACATTCTCGTTACCGTGCCTCGGGCCTCAGCGCTCGCCGTCTTCAGCCTGGAGGAGGAGATGCGCCAAACGACCACTTCGCTGGCGCAGTCACACGCGCTGGCGTACGCCGCGTGCCGCGTTGCGGCCGCGCCGCGCGGGCGGGAGCCGTGGGTTGCGCTTTGGCCAGCGACTCCCGAGGGGACGTGGGGCGTCGAGGGCGACTCCTGGCGGGCCTTCGACGGCGACGCGTTCCGAGAGCTGCGACGTCTGCACGAGGAGGGCGAGGCCGCAGCTCGGGCTGCCCACGAAAAGCTGCCGCCTGACATCTCCTGGGAGCGCTTCAAGCTGGGCGTCTCGTTCGTGGCTCTAGATGCGGAATACGGCCAGCGCGCGAGAGACGCGTGACCGGTTGATTGGGCGGGACACTCACCGTGTCCACTGTATTGGCCCCCAAATCTTTCCGGTCCCCGGGTGGATCGTGATTCCTCCCGAGGAACGATGGTAGGATCGTGACATCGCGCGCAGCCGATCTGGTCGTGAGCGGCGAGAGGCAGCCTGTGCTGCTGCCGGTGATCGACTTGTGCAACCACCGCAGGGGCGGCGAGCACAACTGCGCAATCGTCTTTGAGGACGACGCACAAACTACCCTTACTTCACCACGACACGCACGCACACCGGTCTACCTCACCTAACCCCGCCTCAGGACGACCACTTCGTGCTGCGATGCGAGCGGCCCATTCAGGTTTGGCGCGCACCGGCTCTTGCACATTGAAAGCCGTGGGGCGCATGCCTGCCGGGGTGATGTGGAGATACGAGGGTTGCCCCCCTTTGCCACACCACCGTGTGCGTATGGAGAATTACCGTACCTTACCTTACATTCAGGCCGGCGAGCCGCTGACCATCTCCTATGGGCCCGTTCGGTTTCTTGATCGTGTTTGACGTCGTCAAACACGACGTCAGACACTAGTGTTGAATGGCCGTAGGTCAAAGGAGAACGCGGAGCTGCTGTACGGGCGCGCCCTTGATCTGCGGGGCCGTGATGTAGAGCTGTGCGCCCACGCGTTGCAACAGTTCATCAGGTACGGTTTTGCGTTGCGGAGCAACCCGTCCGACGCGGCGCCCGCCTATCGTGCCGGTCTCCGCCGAATCCATCCGTCGACCCTGCCATGCACCCACTAGGCGTTGCTGCGCCTCCCTCTCGCGCCGGCGGCGGACCCGACGTTTGGCGTGCAGCGCGCCGCCCTGACCCCTCGCGGCATGCTCGACGAGGAGGCGGACGGCCCCTCTCCTCTCCTCTCCTCTTCTCCTCCCCTCCCCTCCCCTCCCCTCCCCTCCCCTCTCCTCCCCTCTCCTCTCCTCTCCTCTCCTCTCCTCTCGATGCGGACCACACCCCATACGGTGACATAAATCAAGTCTGACGAGACCTGGCATCGCGATGACCAAGTCTAGCGTTGGCGACTCTTGTGCTCTTGACGCCACACTCAGCACAGACATTCCGGCGGCCCCGGTGCTCGTCTGGACGCCACCGTGTCGCTTGAGAGCGCCGCGCTGCAACAGGACTGCTTCTGGCTGCCTCTCGGCTGGAGTTGCGATGGGCCGCGGTGGGCGCCGCTGCTCTTGATGATGCTCCGCCTCGCCGCCGCGAGCAGCACGGCGGAGCTCCTTCCTAGATGCGCAATGCAGATCCCTCGATTCCAGCAAGTACTTCAGAAGCGCACCCGATTGAATCCAAGCTGTATTGCTCACTTGCATTCGTAGCACTCGTACTCCCGCGCTGCTCCGAATACAGTGCCCTCACTTCCCTCTAGGAGCTCATCGCCGCGATGACGGCCGCGGCAGGCGGAGGCGGCGACGAGGAAGGGGAGGAGGCGGAGGCGGACGTGGACATCGACGAGGTGCCGGCGCTTGGTTGGTCGCTGCTTGCCGAGGCGTGCGACGCCGATCTGGCAGGCAGCGCGCCGCAAGGCGCGGATGGAGACGACACTGTGCCCTATTGGCCGCATGGCGCGGCGAGTGTGGCGAGCGCGGCACGGCGCGACCTCGTCCTAGCATACGCAGAGGTTGCGTGGAGGCGGCGCGACGCTGCTTGAAGAGAGAGAAGAGTCGTCCCGCTCCCGGGGGTTGCATCACATGTCCCAATGCCTACCAGTGCAGCCGAGACACGCGAGAGCCGAAAATAAATGAGACTCGACTTGCGGAGGAGGTGATCATCTCTCTGTGCACTCCAGGCCCCAAATGACGTGTGAGTGTTAGAGTTGTTGCAAAAAAATCGCGCAGAAGCCGCAGGCCAAATGTCGACCAAAGATAGAGTCGCGAGAGCCGATGGGTTTCAAACCGCCGGTTTCTTTTTAGCAATACCAAAACAAGTCTAACACGCTCACACGTCATTTGGGGCCTGGAGCCCTGTTCACGCGCGCGCGAGACGTGCAGACAGGGTTGCCAGGTGAGAGCGAATGGCGCGGTTCACGCCTCGCACAACACGAGAGAGAGAGATGCGCTCTGCATGGTGGGACATGTTTTTCGGCTTCTGTGAGTCAAACCACGCAAAAACCAAGCTTGTCAGGGATGGGTATGGGCATGTTTTGCGAGGATGGTGAGCTTTCTGGCCGTCAGATTCTGGCCGTCCGGTGTGAAAGGATTGTTGCTCGGCTGGTTTATCAAGTAAATATAGGAGATACTATACAAAGAAAAGGGAAGCCGTAGGTTTGACCGATCGGCGTCTCAACCACGATAAAACAATCGTAAGGGAAAGAGCGGCGCCGGCAATTCCGCATACAAATGGGCGGGTCCGTGCACGGCTTCAAGAGGCCTCGCGACGAGTCGCCCGGTCAGAACAGCGGGCTGCGCGGCGAGTCTCGCTGGCGTGACGAGCCAAGACGGCGTGGCGAGCCGCGATGGCGCGACGAGCCGCGATGGCGCAATGAGCGCCCGCCGCCGCCGCCATGGTTGGCGCCTCAGCCGCCTCCGGGCGGGTCGTCGCCGCTGCCACCGTCGCCGAGGACAGGCGATCCGCCACAGTCGCCCTCACGCCGGCCAAATCCGGCAGAAAGGGACGGGCGCCGTTCTGGCGCTTCGCTCGCTCCGCTCGCGTTGCGCAGCTGGATCTGGCTGGCTACACACCTCGCGGCTTGCACATGAGCAGCGACAGCAGCGACCACAGCAATAGGCAGAAGAAGAAGAAACGGTCCCGGCACAAGCGCGCGGCGACAGAACTACCGCCCGCAGAACCGTCGCCCACACCACAGCCGGCGCCGTGGCGGTCACACAGTTCCAACTCGTCGACGGCGTGAACCGCTACCGTGCTGGACAACAGGAGGTCGACGGCACTATCATGCTACATAGGGCCGTCGGCGGCCACATGTACATGTGCAGCTTTGCCCAGCTGACCGACTACTCGCGCAAGACTTTCAGAATTGACCGGGAGATTCTCTTCATCTTCAAGACCGGGGTGCACACCAGCCGACAGCCGTCCAGCTGGCACTCAGCTCTCACCCCGTCACAGCTCTCAGTAGACATTGTTCGGTAGGAACGCGGTGCGAAAGCGCGACCGAAACAAAGAAACGCGGCGGCTGGCGCTGACCCGTCACCGTCACCGCCGCGATATTGCGCGATATAGCGCGATATAGCGCGATATTAGGCGATCATTCACGATATACAGAAGATTCCCTCTACGCTCTAGAGCAGGGATGCGCTGGGTCCTGGGTGCGCTTCTTAGCTCCCCGGCCCTTGGTTTTGAGGTTACTGACTGCACTCCAAGTGCTCCAAGTGCCAGAGTGCGGCCCCATGCTCCTAGCACCACCGCAGCCTCACGAAGAGCCGTACGCTCCTGCGAGAGCCTGCGGGCATGCACCCCTCCCACCTCCCAGATACACAACAGAGCTCCAAGTCCAACCCGCCCGTGCGCGGCACACACTCTGCCGACTAGCAGGTAGCAGCTGCCATGCAGCAGTTTTGGGTGTGACACGAGGGGAGACACTCGGTGGTCGCGTACGGACGATGCTGCGCGGAGAACACACAGGCCCGCAGGCGCACTGGCGCCGCAGTCACTTCTTTTTTGTTTGTTTCCCTTTGGGCTTGGGCCGCGCCTTGCGCGTTAGCACAAACTCGCCGAGCTTGTGGCCAACCATCGCCGCCGACACCTTGACCCGCTTGTATTCTCTGCCACTGTGTATGAGGAAGGTCCGCCCAACCATGCCGAGCGTGATGAGCGCGCGGCGCTCGCCGACGATCGGCTTGCCGTCATCCGGAGGCAGCGCGGCGGGCATGTTGTACCATGAGCGCACCGGCGGCGGCCGTAGTGCGCGCGCTGCGGCAAATGGCAGCACGTTGCGCGCCAGCCTCGAGAGGGGTGATGGCGTGAGGGCCAATCTGCACGCCACCAGCATTCTCGGCGGCACAAAAAGATAACGCCGGCCGCCGAAGGAAAAAAAGAAAACCAGCAACCGCAGGGCGTGGGGCGGTTGAGCATCCCTCCGGGGGCCCCTCTGCGCCGGGGAGGCGTTGTTGGAGGCTAGGACGCAAGCGTTCGTCGCCCTTTTCAAACTCGGGGCCCACTCCGCTACGCTCCGACCCGAATTTGGATGGAGGGCCTGAAAAGTTTAAGGTGTTGCTGCGCAAAGGGTGATATTACTATATATAAATATAAGATATAATCGGCCGTCACCTCGTCACCCCGTCACCCGGGTGGGGGCGCGCGCGCGCGCTCGGATCTCAGAAAATCGGGCCGTCACCCGTCACTCGTCACCCGAAATTTTTTTCGATTCTCTCCTGTTGAGTATATGAGCGACCCAGCTCGAGGGTTGCTCTTGACTCTGGCCTTTTCGGGTCACGTAGCCACACCTCGCCTCCTCGGTGCGAGTGGCTGCCAGTTCGACTCTGGGGAGGATCGAACCATCAACATGGTACCTCCGGTGAGATCTCCCAGGTCGACGGCGGTCTGCGAAGATTTGAGTCCCTTCGTGTGTGAGCTACGAAAAAGATCGAAAATAGTGCCCAAGGTAACCCGGGGGAACTCGCGTCCCGGAACGCCTGCCCTACCTCGAAACACGGCGGTATCGGATATACAGCAGCAACCTCGTGCTGCGTCGTGGGGGCGTGTTGAGTATATGAGCGACCCAGCTCGAGGGTTGCTCTTGACTCTGGCCTTTTCGGGTCACGTAGCCACACCTCGCCTCCTCGGTGCGAGTGGCTGCCAGTTCGACTCTGGGGAGGATCGAACCATCAACATCTCCGTCTACTCGAGTACTCGCTATATGGCTGCAGCCGATCGTACGGCGTGCCACGACGTGCTCCAGACTGTCAGATTTTCTTTGCCCTCTCTGAAGGCGACATGGAGAGCGGCGGAGAGGAGTCTCAGCCGGCGGCCGTGGAGGAGGAGAGCACGACAGCGGCGAGTGCGACTGCTCCTCCGACACTCGTGGCGGGTGCAGCGTCTGCCGGCGCAACCCGTGCGCGCAGCGTCCGGGGTGCTTGGCAGCGGTCAACCACAGCGACAGTGTGAGTGCGGTGACCTCCTCACGGGCGAGCTCCAACTCGACATCCAAGGCCACCGAGTTGGAGCGCATCCGCATGCTTCGGGATGCGTGGGCTGCCAGGCACGGCGCGACGCCGTTCCCAAGGGAGTTGTTTTTAGCGGACGAGGTCTCCTCGCAGCAGAGGCTAGCAACCTGGAGAGAGGGATAGTATATGGTTGTCACGCTTGCGTGTGCCTCGTTGTCACCGCTCGAGCCACGAGTCCAGCTCAATAAAGTCGCCCGCGTCACGCAGCCGCCGCGTTCCCGTGCCGCTTGCGGGCACGGTGTGCTCACGCAAGCAGTCCTCATCCAGGCGAAGCAGCTTGCGGACAGCATTTTTCAGGCGAGGCTCCTCCTCAAACAAGGCTATCAGGCCTGCGCCGTGTCCGTACTGGTCGCTCGACGTCGCTTGGTGCTGGCCCGCGCTCTTATCGAGTTTGTCATATGTAGCAAGGCGCTTCGGGCAGCCGTGAAGGGCGCACATTCGGTCCCAGTCCGAGCCGATGGACTCCAGTCGCCCGATGAAATCAGGTCTGTGCCAGCTCCTCTCGCCAAGGATGTTGGCGAACATGAGAGCGACGTGTTTGAAGTTCGGGTTCCAGTGGGATCCGTGAGACAGACTCAGGTCGAGAATGTCGCTCATCACCGCCTTTGCGAGCGTCTTGGTGCCCTCGCCGACGAACAGGCTGCAGTCGTACCGGCACTGCCACCCGAGGGGGGGGGGAAACCCGGGTACGGAAATTGGCTGCGGCCACCCAGGATGGGGTGTGGGTAGCGCGCCCTCTTGAGTAGGGGCGTTGCAGCACTGCTTGTATGTGCGCATCGTCGCCTCGCGATAGCCCGAGACAAAGTGCGAGAAAGGATCTCGCACGAAGGAGAATTCAAAAGCCTTTTCCATGTTGTCCACGTTGAACTTCTTGCTTACCGCTGTGCAGTTCTCCATGCTCGCTCGCATGTTGCCGCGGAAAAAATTGTTGCCACCCTTCCAGACGTTGCGGTACGCCATCTTCTCCTCGCACACATATCGCTCATGCACAATCGTGAAAAACCTGCGTTTAGAGAGTGCGGAGTGTTTCAAATTTTATTAACAGCGAGACCAACGAGAGCACACGGGTCAGAGAGTGCCACTATGGCACACCCTCTCCACACTCCCGAGCTCACTGCCACACACTGGCATCAGCAGCCAGCACACCCGCCCGTGCGAGGCAGCGACCGCGCCCCTGCGGCCTGGCCCTTTGGTGGCGCCTGGGAGCTGAGTGCTGGGTGGAGGCCCTGCGCAGTGCCGCGTGCGCGCGACCTAGGGGCGAGGGTCTTATGCGTTATACGTTAATCTTTCCAAAAAAAGTGTTGGGCTCTGTGGCGTGTGTGTGGGGGGGGGAGAGAGATAATTCAGAGATTCAGACACAGCTGTGGCTGACAGCTGCGGCTCAACATACCTGTACCTTAGCTAAATAGAGGACGGTCCATAGTCGGGAAGGCCCTTCAAGGGCCATCCCGAAGTCAGATCACGCACACATGCACACACGCAGCACAGTCTGCTTCACCGCCCTTGCCCAGGTCGCGAGCTATCCCGCTCTGTGAGGCGTGGTTTCTCAGTCCTCGTAGTCCTCACGGGAAGAGATGGTCTCATAGTAGCCGACCGGCAGCAGCCCATTTGATTGGAGCCACCAGATGCTGGCGTACGACAGCGACAGCGCCTTGCGCAGCGCCAGCACACTTGTGCTGCTGAGCAGTGAGCCGCCACGCGCAGTACTGTGAGTTTGAGGCGGCTTCAACGACGGCCTTCCCTGGTACTGTTTCGTGAGTCCAAGAAGGTCGACCAATCGAGCCCAGTCCTCGCCAAACGCCTCCACACGTCCTACGAACGCAATGCGACTTGCGGAAGCCATTGAGCCGTCCCCTTCAAAGAGGTAGCGTGCAAGCGTGGCGCGAGCGTGGCCGAGGTTCATGATCAGCTCGGCCAAACCGCCAGCCGCGTGAGCGGCCGCAACCGCTTCGGCAAACCCGCTGCCATGAAAGCTGGTAGACATGTTCATTTTGAGCGTGTGTTGCATGTAGTTTCTCATGTAATCCCATTCTCTCGCCTCCGCCTGCATCTGGTCACCCCATGCATCAGCCCTCGGTTTGGTTCGCAAGAAGTTCCACGAGGAGATCACCCGCGTGATCGGGTCTCGCACCCAGAGGACCACCTTGAAGGCCATCGTGATCCCTGGATGAACACCCTCTTGAAAGCCACCGATGGTGCACGCGTTGGGGCTCATCGGCGCACTCCACTGACTAAACCAATTCGTCGATCCCTTCTTCCCCGTCCGGGGGGAGCTTTCGCCTGGCTCGAGGCCGTGCAGCTCGACGAGCTGGTTGATCATCCCAGCATCTTGAAACTTACGGAACGCTTTGATTCCCGACAGGCCGCCGGCCTTGTTCACGTGGACGTAGCAGATGTTGATCTCCTCGTTGGGTTGCGCGGGCGGGCGCAGCAGCTGCAAGCGCGGAAGAGGCACCGCTGGGTCGTTTTTCATCCAGCCGCTGATCGGTGGCATAGGGGACTGGGCCTGCTTGACGAGCTTCACCAGTTGCGGCGTCGTAGTGCAGTTGGGACCGAGGCCGTTCAGCATGCACCAGCTCTGTTGCTCCGAGTGCGAGATGCTGGGCGAGATGCCCGTGGTAATGTGCCGACCCCCCTGAGTGGAGGCCGTTTTGGCCATTTGGGGGGGCGTCGCCGCCGCGTCGCTCGGTGGCACGGAGAGAGTGCACTCGTCTGTATAGATGTAGTCCATGTCGTTTGGCTGCTCGAAGGCAACGAGCCCACCGACGCCGACCATTCCAGAGTGCGGGTAGGTCGCGCGGACCGAGTCCCGATACGTGATCGCAACGTCGTTGCCAGCCGTCTGGTTGTAGCACCAGTCCAGCAGCTCGGGGCCGGTGAGCATAAGCGGCCTGCCCTTGGGAGGGACGAATCGCTGTCGGACGTTGCGGAGGATCGAGTCGAGCATGCAGCGGGGGAGCGGGTGCGACGGCACGCTCGCGAGGATCATCTGCTTCCGTTCGTCGGCCCCCGAAATGTCACGGCCGATGGTCGCGCCCGCGTCACACATGTCGACTACGCTGGCAATCGGCTTGAGCAGCACGAGATCGGTATCCAGGTAGACGCCGCCTTCGGCGGACAGGGCGCAGAAGCGGAAGAGATCGGCGCGAAACGCGGGGGCGAGCAGGCAGCGGTACGCCTGCCCGGCCTCTCGCCCGCAGTGCTTGGTCACGTACTCGAACGCCGACTCGTCGTCGTGATAGTTCACCACAAAGCCATCGAGGTGAACGGCAGCATTCATGGCCACGTTGGATGGGCGCTCCGCGCTGCCGCCAACTGCATGGTAGATACGGGGCACTCTCGTGGACCCCTCAGAGCAGTTGGGTGGCGACGAGAGCGGCAAGTTCAAGTATTCGGCGCAATTGCTGTCGCCAAAGTCTGGGCGGGTGAACGGCGTCTGCACGAGCGCGCACGGCCCCACTTCCGCGGCCGCTCGTTTGGCGGGTGCGGCAACCGCAAAGACGTGGAAGAGGGTCGTCATGCACGCGGAGCCGCCGGGTCTGTAGAGACGGGCCTCCTCGTGCCTCGTGCCCCTTGCTACTAAGTCCTTGCGGCTTGCGTCACGCAGCCCGTGCAGGCTTGACCCCGTTGGGCCACGGTGACTAGGGAAGGGGAAGCAGAGTTCAGCAACGTATTCACGGGCGTCTCAGCAATTGGCCGGTCGACAAATTTTACCGCCGACGGTCAAATATTGGAAGTTCGTTCTTTGCTCGCCAAAAACGGCGAAGCGAGTCCGTCCGTCCGGGCGTGGCGTCGTGTCGGGGCGTGCCCCTCCTTAGCACCGCAGAGGGGGGGTTGTGTGAGTCCAAGCATTGCCACCACGGCTAGGCATCCTGATCCTCGTACGCCTGAAGACTTCTCCGACCGACGGTTCGCCGCCCTATTTCGCAACTTGAATTGTCGCTCGATTCTCTGACGCAAGCTTTGTATATATCTATTTTTGTAGTTTGGTTTGTAGTTACCGGAACCGCTCTATCTTACTTAGCATTCAGGAGGGAAGCGGACATTTTTACGACAGAGCAAATCGATGTCTCTATGAACGAGACCATGTGAGGCCGAGATGATGATGAAACACTGTATCACTGCAGAAGGATGTGCTGAAGCTGACTGCTCAGTCAGCTGTGCTAGTGCCACACACCCCAGGCACGTGGCGCTCTGGGGGCGGGCGAACTCTCGCCGAGGCGGGCGAGGGTACGATAGCCGTGCGCGGCGCGTGCGACAGCGACTAAGGCCCGCGAGGCATTCGCTCTCTATCTATTCCGGGGGGGGATGCGCACATTGTACGGTCCATGTGTCAGCTGCAGGGGACAACCCTGCGCCCAGTGACGCGCGGCGAGCTGGCGGCCGCTGGGCGGCGAACGCCCGCGCATGGGTGGGGCATGCGGCTCTGGCGACCGGAGCCGCGTTCGCCCTCGCTAGGCCGCCGCCTCCTCAGTGGCCGGCGGCGAGGCGCCCCTCCTCGACCAGCAGCTGCTGCCCGATGGCGCACGTGACTGCCGCGATGTTGAAGACGTGCATCCCGCCTTTGGTGGTGCCGCGCAGGTAGGCGCCCTTCCTCGGCATCGCCGCACCGTCAACGGGGAACTCGTCGTACTTCTTCAGCTCGACGCAGCGCTCCGCCGAGTAGTGCCCGTCGAGCATCGCGCGCACGTCGCGCGCCTTGAGGTGGTCGGCGCTGCGGCGGGTCGAGTCGGCGTACTCGTCGAGGATCTCGGGCAGCTTCTTGAGGTCCACGAACTTGGGGTTGCACTTGGTCAGGATCTCGCGGTCGTCGACGACCGCCCCCTGCAGCGTGTCCACCAGCTCGGCGAGGCAGTCCCAGTCCTCGGCGCCCTCGAGGAAGCAGCACCGCTGGCGGAGCTTGCCGCCGAGCCTGCCCGAGGCGCGGCTGCCGTCGGCCTGGACGATCTCGTTGACGACGCCGCGGGAGAGCAGCCCGGCCAGCGTGGCGACGCACCGCGCCAGCTGGGCGGGCGCGCGGACCGCGACCTCGAGCCGCGCGAGGCCGACAAGCGTGAGGCACTCGCACCACGCGGCGAGCGGCGCTGGCTCCTCGCCGTCCGGCTCGGCCGGCACGGCGCCGAAGGTGCGGAGCAGGGGGAGGAGGTAGTCGTGCGCGGTCGGCAGGTTCAGGTGCAGGTCGAGCGTGTTGAGCATCTCGATCTCCATGCTCATCAGCGCCTCGAGCGGGTAGGCTTTGTCGCAGATGTACACAAAGTCGGCCATGTTCGGGATCATCACCTCCTCGTGCTTGCACGCGAGGCAGAGCGCGCCGATGCCGACGAGCTGCAGCCGCTCGCGCGCGACGTCGACGACGCCCAGGTAGCGGCGCATGAAGTCGCACGCCAGCTGCAGCGAGCGCGGCACGAACTTGAACTTGTGCGAGACGACCGAGAGCCAGTCCCACAGGATGGCCCACATGCGCTGGTTCACCTCGGGCTGCCGGGCGAGGAAGTTCTGGCCGGGCGCCCACGCGTGGGGCAGCGAGAGCTCGAGGAAGCGCGGCGGCGGCGGCATGCTGCGCGGCAGGTGGCGCGCGATGACCGGGCACTCCTCCGCGATGCCGTCAAAGTACGGGTGGCAGAGCGCCTCGGCCGCGGTGATGCGGTCCGCCGGCTCGTGCCGCATGAGCTTGCGCATCAGGTCGCGGCCGTCCTCGCAGATCATGTGCAGGCTGGCGCGCATCTCCTGGTCGCTGACCTCCTCCAGGTCCTGGATCATCATGTACACGTTGGGCTCGCGGTGGCCGCACGCCGCCTCGGCGAAGACGGTGCCGAGCGCCCACAGGTCGTTGGCCGAGCCGTACCGCTTGCGCTCCGTCTCCGAGCTCAGCTCGGGCGAGGCGCGGCTCGGGCGGATCGGCAGCTCCTCGTTGCACAGCGCGGCGGCGGGCGGCGAGAAGCCAAAGTCGCCCAGCTTGACCAGGTAGTGGTCCTCCTCCTCGTTGAGCGTGAGCGCGAGGATGCGGTACGGCGCCAGGTTGCCGTGCGGCACGCCGCGCGCGTGCGAGTAGGCGAGCGCGCTGAGGACCTGGTAGAGCCACGAGCGCATCATCAGCGGCGGCAGCGCGCGGCCGAGGACCGTGTGCGACGTCCGCTCCAGCGTGCCGTACACGACCTTCTGCATGGACGTGTCGGCGTACTCGAAGCCGGCGTTGACGTGCGTGATGCCGGGCGGCGGCTCGCCCGCGGCGGGGTCCCTCTCGAGCACCGGCTCCTCGTGGACCGCGCTCACGAGCTTGAGGGCGGCGATGCACGGGTGGTGCATGCCCTGCAGGCAGCCGATCCAGCGCACCACGTCGTAAGAGATGCCCTCCTCGCTGCATTTCCGGATCAGCATGACAAACCGCTCGCCCCCCTCGGTCTCGACGGTGTGCCACTGGTCCTGCTTGCCCTCCTCGCGGCTGGTGGAGCTCGCCGTCCACGTCTTGCCGCCCGCGTCGTCAGGCACCACGCCGAACTGATCCCAGTCGAGCGCGCCGTCGGGGTGGGACAGGTCGTGCAGCTGCTTCCACGGCGGCGTCGCCTGCGCCAGAGCGCGCCAGCGCCGGGAGACGGAGGAGGTGCGCGCGCAGGCGCGCATGGCGCGCGACGAGGGCCCGAGGACGATCGCGTCCCGCCCGGGATGCAGCAGCGACTCGCCGGGCTCGAGCCCGCCGGGCACCGCCTCTGTGCGAGCAAGGTGGCAGAGCGCGTGCACGAGCAGCTCGTCCGGAAGCTCGTCCACGGGCGCGGGCGCCTCGGCGGCGGTGATGCGGGTCTGCGAGCGCGTGCACGGCGACTTTTGCTGCCCGCGCGAACGGCTCGCGCTGGGGCGCGCGTTGGCGGAGATGGAGGAGAGGACCATGGGTGGCTACTGCTCGAAAATGCCGGTGCTTTGACCGCCAACTGCCAAAAGAATTAACCTGTCGCCTCTCGCACACGCACGATTTCAGCCGCACCACACCCCTCTCCTTCCTTAAAATCCCTGTGTGGTGGCGGCGTGCCGTCCTCCCATCCCTCCCTTGGCTTGTCCGTTTTGTTCCTTTCTTTCTGCACGATTCAGCCGCCCCGTGCGAGGTCGTCGTGACCTGCCCCTCGTCGCGCCTTGATCGCCTCCGCCCGCCGGCAACTGCGAAAACCTGAGGGGGCGGCAAGTGCGAAAAAGAATTTAAACGATGCTGGCGCACTGCCCCCTTGTCAGGATCGCGCGAGCAGCTGTTTCAATCGCGCGGCACAGCTGCCAAAAAGAATTTGCGATGCGCGTGGTGATCTCCAAAAACGGACTCTCGGCGGTCGAGCAGGCGTGCTTTTTGATCGGGGCGGCAACTGCGAAAAAGAATTTTTGCCGGGTGGCACCACAGGTCCTCGGCAACAAACTCTGCCCCTCCTGCCGCGCATTTGGGTTGACCAACGCCGACATCATCCACGACGCGCAGTGCGCCGCGCAGGCACTCAAGGCCAGGCGCGCCGTAGCGGCGAACGTCGCGAAGAAGAAGACCTTCCAGAGCGTCATCGTCGACAACAAGGTCGAGGTCGCGCGCGCAGCGGGCAAGGTCAAGGCGATGGCGGCGCGCGACGGGCTTGGCTACTGCCCAAACTTCAACCAGACCGCCCTCCCGTGCAAGACCAGCGCTCGCTGCCGCTACGCGCCGTGCGTCAACTTCGAGGCGCTCCTCCACACCGCCTTCAAGGACACCGTCTACAAGCGCATGCCGAGCGCAGTTAGGCTCGGCACGAGCCGCGGGCGGCGCGGCGGCCGCGGCCGTGGCGGCGGCGGCGGCGAGGTCAAGAGCAACAAGAAGGACTGGGCGAGCGTCGCTCGCGGAGCCGCCCGCTCCCCCTACGACGGCGGCCCACGCCTCGAGTCCAACGAGCCCTCGCTCTACGAGGGGAGCGACGAGGAGAGCTCTAGGAACGGCCATCGAGCCCTTCCCGCAGCGCAACCCTAGCAGCGCAGCGGGCAGGGCGGCTCGCGCAGCGCGCGCGATCGCGCAAGCGGCGCGCGCGAGCGAGCGAGCGAGCACACACACACACACACACACACACACACACACACACACACACACACACACACACACACACACACACACACACACACACACACACACACACACACATGGCGCATGCAACGCGTCTAAATGCTCGCCTCGCCTCACGCAAATGCGACCGTCCTCGCAGCCGACAGTCCACCGCCTGCTAAAGAAGCACTGCGACGAATGCGGCACCGGCGACGCAGGCTGGTCATGACGCAGTTATAGGGTGTTGTGTGCCGTCAGAGTGACTCTCTGTGTGTCAGGGATAGTCAGGGCCGTCCATCAGAGCTCCAGTAAGCTCGGGAGACAACCCATTAGCGCGGCTCGACCTCTTTGAGTCACTGCCTTCCCGGCGGTTTGGCTGTAGAGCCTCTACAACAATCAACAAACTCTACAGCAAAATCGCGCTCTACATCGCTCTACACACTACAGGCGACTCACATCGTCCCGCGGCGGAAGTAGAGCTCTACAGCTCTACAGCGCTCCAGAGCGCTCTACATCTCTACAGCTCTACAGCGCTCTACACTCTACATCCTCTACACCCTCCCTCAGCCTCCCGCCAGCGCCAGGCCGCGTGCCTCTGGCAGGCCACTTAAGCCCTACTGACCAACCTACGAAACAAAACCTAACAATACTTACAACAAAAATATCAAAACCTATGTACAAGCAAGCTCAATCACAAGCATCAATCAATCAGATCAGCTTGGGTGGGGAACTGGGGATAAGTGGGATACGCGGAAATTTCTTTTCCGGTGTGAAATTCCGGCGTGAAGAGAGGGAAACCGCGGTGGATCTACCTTACAAACGATCTGTGTCTTGGTTTGCCAACAACACCCAAGCTGCCGAGCACAAAAGAAACGCCGCGGGCTTATACACATTTGTGTGTGTACAACTGTATCACTGTGCATATGTACGTACTTTTTTAGCTTACTGGGAGAAAAGAGAGAGGGGGTTGTGTTCTCTAGGCCCCTAGGGGCCCTACGCGCGGCGTGAGAGCTCGGAAGCGAGCTTAGCACGGCGATCTCTCTCATATGTATCACTGTGCATATGTTCTGTTTGGCCGCCGCCTCGTACTCGCTCGCCTGGCCGACGCTGCGCGGGCCGCTGCGATACCCGAGCGCCTCGAGGTCGGCGCCTGTCCTCGCGGCGAGCAGCGGCCCGGAGCTCTCGAGACTGGTCGTCCTCTCGGAGAGGCGCTCGTCGCTCGAGGTGACGCTGCACTGCTGCCGCTCTCGCGCCCTCGCACACTCGCGCTTGTCAGTGAGAGCATCTCCGCGGCCCAGCAGGCTAGCGGTGCGAGACGCGTCGCGCACACGCACCGCTCGCAGGTGGAGGCAAGCGCCGACGAGTGCGCACAGCTCGCCGAGCGCTTTGGCTGGGCGAAGCTGAGCTGGCTCCGTGCGACGGCGACCCTCACGCGTTTCGACGCGGCGCGCCGCCGGACGCGCGTGTCCGGCAAGATGTGGGGGCAGCTCGCGCGGACGGGCGCAGATGGCGGGCGGCGTGTCCTGACAGTCGAGGCGGAGCCGTTCGAGTCGGTCTACGTCCCCGCCGGCGCCGGCGATGGCGCCGACGCCGCCATCGACTTGGAGGCAGACTTTGACGACGAGATGGGCTCGGGCGGAGAGATCGACGTCGGCGAGTGCGTTGCGCAGCACTTTTACCTGCACGTCGAAGACGGCGCGCTCGAGGAGCTCGCCGAGTGGGTGGGGTCCGGCCTCGAGGCCGACGGCACGGTGGTCTACGACTCGACGGGGTGACATTTTGTGCGGGCTGTCCCGGTGCGGCATCGTACGTGTACGGGCTGGGTAGGGACCGGGAAACGTCGCGGCGAGGGGAGCGCAGAGTGGAGAAGCCGTAACGGCGGTATATAATGGGGTGTATTCTCGGTCGCGGTGTATACACTCTACGCGATGGCGTTATAAACCCCAAACGATCAGTTTCGGAGAAGAAGGACAACCGACAAGGAGCACCACGATAAACTTGTCGTTTTTTCCCGAGATGCTCACTTTTCCGTTTTCGAGCTCCGAGTTTAGTCTCGATCTCCGGCGGCCGTTCATCAGCGGACCCACCTCGGCACGGGCGGCGGCCGCGACCGCACCTTCGCCGCCCAGAGTCCGAGCCGTCGCGGCGCTTGCAGGCGACTTTCGGCAGCCGCCGCGACCGCCGCGTTGAAAGGATGGCTGTCGCGCACCCACGGGTCGCTCGCGGCGGAGAGCTCCGCCTGCGCCGGAGGAGAGGGCCACTCATGCGCTTTGCGCGGGCGAGCAGAGACGGGCGGGGCGGCCAAGGCGAGGCGCGGAGCGGTGTGCGCGCGGCGGGTGCCAGCGGTGGTGAATAGGACAAGGGAATTGAGTGGCAAGACAAGAGGGGTGCGGCCCCGGGTCGGCTCAGGAGATACCCCCGGGGACGGTGCGACATCGGTGTGGGGCGGCCGCCGCACCTGCCTCGAGCGTCGGACGACCTCCCGCTGCACCAGCAGCAGCGCCTCGTCAAACCGGCGGCGAGAGTCGGAGGTCGAGCCTCGCGGTGCCGTTCGCTGCGCTGCGTCGGCGCGCGTGCCCACCTGGGTCGGGGAGGGCGAGGCGGCGCCGTCAGAGACAGCCCTCGTGGCGCCGCGGCCGTCCGGCGGCGGTGCGGTGCGGTGCGGGTGCAGCTCACCGTGTCCAGCCGCGGCTCGAGCGCAGCGAGTTCTCGCTCGAGCGCCGCGCGCGAGGCCGGGTCGGCGAGCGAGACTTCGGGGTGCAAGAGCGGCGGCGAGGCGGGAGATGCGGCCGGCGCGGCGGACGACGCGGCGGCGTAGAAGAGCCGCGCGGCGGAGACGTGTATTCCCGGCGGCCGCCTCGGCCCTGACGGCGCTGACGGCGGCGCGGGCGGCGGTGGCGGGAGGCTCCACCGCAGCCTGTCCTCAGCCTGGCCGAGCAGCCGCCGCAGCCGCACCGGCGTTGTCGGTAGCGACTCCGACTCCACCGCCGGGCGGCCACTGGGCCACGGCTTCCACGGCGGCATCGTGCGAGGAGGACCCGTCTCGGGCGTGGCCGGCGGCGGCGTCGCGGTGGGCTCGCCGCCGGCGACGGCACGTTTTTTGGCGTTCAACATTGGCGTTCACAGTTGTACGAGTATGAGAAGAAAATACCTCCGGGCGCTATGCGCTGGTCTGTGAGAGGTTGAGGTGCGAGCCCTGGATTCAGCGACGAGGCGGCGGCTGCCGCGCCGCGCCTCTGCCTGCACGCGAGCGCGCTGACGCTGGACCACCCCGATGGCAGAAGCGGGCGGGAGGGTGACTTTCAGAAAAAAAAATTCTGCTGGCCTCGTGCAGCAACATCAACACGCCTTGCCTTCCGGCTCGCGGCGGCGCTTGTCTGTGGCTATGGCGGGCGGTCAGGGCGGGGCCAAGAAGCTGGCGTTCGAGAGTGTTGGGCCGCCAGCATTCGACACTTTGCCCCTGTGCGTGAATGCACGTCCAGGCATACGGCTTTTGACTTGACGGAGAAGAAGTCGTTTATGCCTCCCAACATGGGGACGGTCGCATTTTCAAGGTTAACCTCAATCAATGTGACGGACATCTGCATTGCGCAGGGCTTGCGATGCGCGGACAATATCGCTTCGTACCACTGCCCAAGGCCAGTTGAGTTGCGTGGATTTATGGGGCATGCCTGAGTCAGCCGCTCCAGCATATTGCCCCACTGCGCGGCACTCGACAGCCAATGAGCAGTCGGCCGCGTGTTGAGTACAAAGTAGGCGTTGGGAAGGTAGCGCAGCAGCGTGGGGAGGTAAGTCACCTGGGGGAAGAGGCACGCCCCAGACGGCTCATAGTCTATTTGGCTGAACACGTCGAAATCACCGCAAGCCTCTCGCAGCAGGTCCGCTCCATCCGCGATAGAACTCCCTGCCACTGCCGCGACCCAACGCAGGAGACATTGGCCACAATACCCGTGACCGGGGCATGTCCAGTGCGATGACTTCCATTTATTGCAGGTGAAGAACTTTGCGATGGACTCTGTCCCGGTCTTGGGCATCCCAAGGACAATCACAAGGGGCCGACTGCTCATAGACGTTCCACTTGAGGCATTCAGAGGCGACGTCGGCGACGACAATGGTGAAATAGGCGCGAGGTTTGATCGTGGCCGCGGCTTGACGAGCGGCGATAGCTGCCGCGGCTTGACGAGCGGCGGAAGGGGTGGCGGGGGAGGCGACGGCGGCGGCGGCGGTGGCGGAGGCGGAGACGGATCCACCCGTCCTCACAATGTCGTTGAGCGGAGCCAGTGCGAGCGCGGCGGCCAAGCAGCGGCAGGCCACCAGAAGCAGCGGCGAGCTGACACGAGCGCGCTCGCTGATGCGGCGAGTACCTGGAAAACCCCGGGGGTATACCCTGGAAATTATCCAGGTATTTTGCCGGTTTCATCGGTTTCGCCTCAGATTTTGCCCCAGACCAGCTCTCAGACTCAGGGGAAACTCGAGAGTTGCCAGAATGCTGAATGGAGCTCCAAACACCCTCTGGTTTCCCTGCAAATTTCCGGAAACGAAAAGTGCTGGGGACCCTCTCGTTTCCTTTTTGGTTTCCGGAAACCTGGGTACACAGGCCAACCCTCCCTCCCTGCCGACGCCGACTTGGAATAAGGGCGGAAACCAAAAAGGAAACCAGAGTGTCCCCAGCACTTTGAGTTCCCGGAAGTTTCCATTCCTGCTCCATTCTGGCAACTCTCGAGTTTCCCCTGACGCCTGAGTCTGAGAGCTGGTTTGGGGCAAAATCTGAGGCGAAACCGAGGAAACCGGCAAACTACGCGGGTATTTTCCAGGTATACCCGGGGGTTTCCAGGTAGGTATACGCTATACCCGCAAAATACCTGGGTATTTTGCCGATTAGCGATTTGGCTGATTTGTTTGGGGCCCAAACCAGCCTCAGACTGTGCTCAGACTCGGCTCAGAGCCCGGGAAATTGATGATTTCCACGGAGTTTCCCCAGGAAACTAGAGGGTGCTGTAGGGAAACTAGCAGGAAACACAAAAGAACCAGGCAGGGTGCGAGAGAGATTTTTGAAGACCAACAAGAAATCACGAGGCGGGTGCGAGCGGAAAGGCCAAACGCCGACCCCTTGCGTGGCTGAGGCTTCTCTCGCCTATCTGCGTACACACCTCCGCCGAGCGAGGACTTTTTTGAGTTTCCGGCGTTCTTCGAATTTTTTTGCGTAAAGCGCCGCTCCGAGCTTCTGCGGCGTGTTTGTACTACGACGGTCGTCTTGCGCAAAAGCCGCGAACCATGTCTCAGATGCCGTCGAGTGCGCGCCGCCCCCCCGGCCCCGCCCGTGGGCGCCGGCCCCGCCCCGTCCGTCGCGCTGGCACCGACGCCCATTCCCCACGCCGAGCGGCGCTCTGTGACACCGACGGTGGCACGCCACTCACATGCGCCGGTTGCCCCCGCAGTGAGCAACTACAAGGCGGACGCGAAGGAGGCGGATCGCAATCGCAAGCGGCTCATGGCGCTCATCAAGCGGCCGGGCAACAACCGCTGTGCAGACTGCCCCGCGCGATGTGAGCTGCTGCCACCCGCCTGCCCACTCCCCGCCGCCTGTGTCTCACGGCCCCGCCCCCCTCGCGCCGGCAAACCGCAGTGGCGCAGAACGCGTGGGCGTCGGTTAATCTCGGCAGCTTCATCTGCTTCCAGTGCTCGGGCATCCACCGCAACCTCGGCGTGCACATCTCAAAGGCGCGCGCACTCGCCAACAGCACCTCAAAGCTCCCCCTCACCACGTCGCCACCTGCTCACCTGCGTACATGCTCCCCCTCGCCACCCCGCCACCCCACCACCACCCCACCACCGACCCTCACGATCGACCCTCACCTTCAAACCCCGCTCACCCACCACAAAGGTTCGCTCGCTCAACCTCGACTCGTGGAACGACGACTGGGTGGCGCAGATGGAGAGGCACAGATGGAGCGGAGATGGAGCCGAGATCCACCCGAGATGAAGCCTAGATGGAGCGAAAATGGAGCCGAGATAGAGCGAAGATGATGGGTCACGCAGATGCAGAGCACGCGCAGTTCGCCGCCGCGCCGCGCCGCGCGCTCTGGATGCCGAGGCGGCCGCCTATCGTTGGGTGCGCGGGGCAGCCTCGCGCCCGCGTGCAGAGACGTTCACCCTTCGACCAAATTTGCGCAGGTGGGGCAACACCAAGGCCACCGCCTACTGGGAGGCCAACATCGGGCCCAACGACCGCAAGCCGACGCTCGAGGCTCCCCAGCCGCGCAGTAGGAGTAGCAGGACAGGCAACCGGAGTTGCAAGGCCGAATGCTGTGCCGAGCAGTTGCTAGCACGCGGCGCCGCGGCTCTCGTCCGACCCGGGAGACTCCCCCACGAAGGGGAGGGCGAGCCAGGGGGGGCAGGATCGGGATGCACTTGGCGGCGACCGCCTCGAAGAGCGATTCGCCGAGGTCAGCCGGGATTTCCGCTCGGAGCGCAGCCCACACGCCGCTGCCCCGCCCGCAGGACTCGAACGCGCAGAACCACGTGCACAAGGCTTCTCCTCCGCGACAAGCACGAGACGACTGGCCCACGCGTCATGGTGCGTGACGCGCCCAGGACGTGTCCCGCACAGGCGTTCATCCGCGACAAGTATGAGAACAAGCGCTGGGCGGCGAACGGCAGCCAGGAGGAGTTCCTCGCCAATGGCGGCGGCCCCGCGCCCGCCGCGCCGCCGCCCGCCGCGCCCGCGCCGACGCCGGCGCCAACCCATGCGCCGCAGCAGCAGCCGCGGGCGCAGCCGGCCGCCGCGCGCGTGCACATCCCGGCCGCGGCACCGCCAAAGACGGATAACGGGTGAGACACGGCCCCTTCCTCCTGCCGTCGACCCCGCCTCCCACGAGCCGCCACAGGCTGCTGGGCGCCTCGCGCTCCACTTCACACGGCCATGCCAACGGCCCGCAAGTACATGGCATGTGATTTTCCCGGGACTTGTACCGCGCAGGCCGGACCTCCTCGGCGACTTCGACGCGGTCGCGCCCGCGCCGGCCGCCAACAACGGCTTTGGGGCCTTCGAGGCGACGCCGCAGCCGCAGGCGGCGGCAGCGGCGGCGCAGCAAACCAGCTTTGGCGACTTCGGCGACTTTGGCAACGGCGGAGGGCAGCCGGCGGCCCCGCAGCCCGACAAGAAGGACCGCGCCGAGGCCACGTTCGGGGCATTTCGGCTTAGATCTCGGCCGCATCTCGGCCACGACTCGGCTATGTAGGACAACATCATGGCGATGTTCGGCGGCGGCGGCGGCGGCGCGATGGGCGCCATGCAGATGGGCATGCAGGCGCGGGGCGCACTTCCAGGACACTCCCGAGACACTCCCGGTCGGGCACTCGGAGCCGGGGGGCACGTCTCGAATGTATGCGCGCTCCGACGCTCGCGCTCTGCCGCTCGCCTCGGACGCTCAGCTCTGCCGCCACGCTTGCCCTCAATTCCTCTTCCCGTCCACTTCCGTAGGGCATGTCCATGGGCGGAGGGATGCCGATGGGCGGAGGAATGGGGATGGGAGGTGCGACAAGCTCCGACTCTGCCTTTCCCCACTGGGCCCCGTTCCGCCCTCTCGCCTGCCCGCCGCCCCCCTGGCACATGCCCCGATCTGATTCGAGAGCGCAGCCGATCTGTTCGGCGTGTAGGCATGCCGCAGATGGGGATGGGCGGCGGCATGGGGATGGGCGGTGAGCTCCGCCTCCAACAGGCGCGGAAGAAGCGCCGGATGGCATCCCCAACCCCCCCCCTCCCCCGTCTGTAGGCATGCCCGGAGGCGGTATGGGCCCGATGGGAGGAATGGGCCCGATGGGAGGCGCGCCGATGGGCGGTGGCATGGGAATGGGAGGCCGCCTTGCTCCTAGGAGGGCCGATTCCAGGCGTTTTCCTTTCCCACCAGTTCTCCATTTTCCCTCTTGCAGGCATGCCGGGAGGCGGCATGGGCATGATGCAAGGCGGAATGCGACCGATGGGGGCCCCCGAAATTTCCCAAAATTTTGGCAGGGATTTGCCAAAATCCCAAAATGGTTTGAGAGAGGGGGGTGGGACCCCTTTTTTTCCCCCCCCGTTTTTGGGGGGCCCCTCAGGGGGGGGGATTCCCATGGGGGGGGGTTTTCCCCCCTCAACGGGGGGTTTTCAAAAAAAGCAGGGGTTGGGGGGCCCCCCCCCCCACCCCCCCCAAAAACCACCACCACCCCCCCCCCCCCCCCCAGTAAACAGGGGCTTTACCCACAAAACAAAGGGCCCCCCCCCCCCCCCCCCTTCTTTCGCCCCATCCCCTGCCCAGGCGGCTACGGCGGGAACCCGCAGATGCAAGGCATGCCGCAGATGCAAGGCATGGGCGGGATGCCCCAGCAGATGGGCGGTATGTTTGTAGAAGAGAAGCGACGACCAGAGAGGGGATGGGCGGGATATCCCAGGAGATGGTCGGCGCGCCTCGGTCGGGCCACAGCGCCGAGTGGTCTCACACTCCCCCCGCTTTCTGTCTGTAGGCATGCCCCAGCAGGGGACGTACGGCCAGATGGGAGGTGACTCTGCTCTGAGGAGCGTGCGCGGCCGTCTTTGCTTCTTTTCACCTCTCTCCATTCGCCCCTGCCGTAGGCATGCCGGGAGGCGGCATGGGAGGCGGCATGGGAGGCGGCATGGGGGGAGGCATGCCGCAGCAAGGCATGGGCGGCTACCCGCGCCCGCAGTGGTGAGGCGTGCGAACGCATCGCCCGGCTTCCCGTTTCGCGGTGCTTTCCACGCAGCGCGGTGATGCCGTGGTCTGCCCGCCACTCTATCGCGGTTTCCTGTCGCCGCCCCCTCCGGCGGCGCACGCTGTCGCACCGTCGCAGCGCTACTGTGGTCTAGTGTCGGCCGCCCCCGCGAGCGTCGCGTCTCCGCGTGCTTGGCTGACGTTCTCCTCGTTTGGTGTGTTGACCCGTTTGTTCCGTGGTGGCGCTGGGAGTTGCCCGTTGGGCGCGAGCGGTGCGGCGGCGGCAGTCATATCGGCCCTCGAGCGGGGAGAGAACATGTGAGGAAATGGTTTTTGGGTCGGTCTGGGCACTGGCGGAGCGTTGACGGTTGAGATGTATGTGTTGAATAATTACTCAACAAAAGAAATAAATAAAACAGAAACCCAAACGAGGGATGGGAGGTGCACAGGTGCTCGAGGAGGTGCTCGGAGGAGGTGCTCGAGAGGGAGGGAGACGTAGGACACCACGACCAGGACGCAGACGGCTGCTAGACCTGGAGTGAGCCCACCCCCCCCTAAAGCCGTACCCACGGGCCCGCCGCCCCCAGGGGCAGGAGCGGCCGAGGCGGTACCCCTGGGGTCTGAGTCTTCGGACCGGGCCGGGCCCGTTGGCGGTGTTGGCGGGGCAGGCCGGGCCTGCCGGGCCCGCCCCGGCCTGTTGGCGGGGTCGGCGGGGCCGAATTTGCAAAGTGGGGGGCCACCCCAGTTATATCCGGCGGCTTCCTAGCAGACAGCCACACGCTGCCCCGTGGCCTCACTTAGCCTCCAGCTGAAGCTCCACGAATGCGCCTCCGGCTTTGTGATCGGTCGCAGTGAGGCGAAGAAGGTACCTTCCCTTGCTCGGAGGCGTGCCGCGCACCCTCCCGTCGTCGGGGTGGACTTGGAGCCACTGCGGAAGATTGCCCCTGTCCAGGGTACCGCTAAACGTCAGGTGGTCGCCGTCCACGTCGAGGAATGTTCCGGCAGGTATAGTTAGCGTATTGGGCTGGCCAACTCGCCACGTGACGTCTGGCATGGGCGTCACCAGCAGGGGTACCTGGTTGATGTGACCCGTGTTCATCTGCCGTTTCGCGACTGCAGAAGCGTACTGCGACCCAGTATCCTCTAGCCAATCAACCAGCGCCGTTTGCAGGCGGCGAGCCTTGTCCAAGGGCACGATATCATCCTTCTCGTGTGGGTGGAGCTGCGAGAGAGGCCTCGACACGTACGGGCTGCGCAGGAGGTTGATCACCTCCGTAGGGTCATTCTGCAAGTCATACAGAGCGTCCACTCCACCCCCCGTCTCTTTTCGACCAATCATGAGCTTGAAGCGACCATCCAATGCCATGTACGCAGGCTCAACGTCGGTATCCCAGAAAGAGAAGATCACCGATCCATTGCTCTTTGTGCCCTCAATCAGCGGGCGCAGGCTCTCGCTGGTGCTGGGCGCGAGCCCAGGAAGACCGAGATAATCGGTGATGGTACCGAATAGCGCCATGTTAGACACAGGCTCGCTCACGACCTTGCCAGCAGGTATCACGCCGGGCAGTCGCATGATCAGCGGGATGTGTACTGACCCCTCATAGAAAATATTCTTGGACTGCATGTGGTGGTCTCCGAGCATCTCGCCGTGGTCCGAGACGTAGATGACAAGTGTGCGGGATGCCAGATTCAACTGGTCGAGTCGGCTCAGCAGTTCGCCCACCATCTTGTCGTTCTGTGCAATCATGCCGTAATAGTTCGAGGTTTGCTGCCGCACTTGAGCCTCGTCGCCAGACGGCGAGCGCGGATGATGCGGATGATGGTAGGGAGAAGCGGTCTTGGGGTCTTCCACAGTGGTCGGGTCCGGAATGGAGCCGCTCGGGTACATGCCGTAGAATGGATAGGGAGTGATGAACGGTGGATGCGGGGCGTCAAATGACACTGTCAGGGCAAATGGCACGCCCTTCAGTCTGTCGAGGGCTGCCATGGCGTCGTCGAGAGTGAGTGCACTGTAGCTGTGGTTGGCAGAGAGAGCAAGACGGCCATTTACATTCTGCTGAGGGGATTTGGGAACTTTGTCTGCGTGTCCTTGCCTGATCAAGTGATTCGACAGCGCAAGAAGAGATTTGTTGAAGGCCTGCTCGTATCGGAGATCAGCCACATCTGCCCAGTACGGCCGCCGATAACAGGAATCCAACAGTTGGCCCGGCAGCAGCTGCTGCAGGGGCTCATGCAAGTCGAGGTAAGACCTGTACGTATCAGTGAGCGATTGAATGCCTTTTGGTGGGTTTGACGGGCCTTTGCCATTCATCCATTGCACAGGCTGGCTGTAGTACGTCTTGTCATGCTCGTCCCGCGTATACTGATAGGGAGAGTGGTACTTGCCTTTGTATTCGCCACTCCAGCCGCTTTCGAGGAGCACGCGGTCGTAGGTCATCCGGCGAGGAGCTGTGGTAAGGTCCCCGTTGCCTCGTACTTTGGTCTGCTCAGGACTTTGGCCGGCCAACATGCTGGTTCGGGACGGGGCGCAAATTGGGCAGACGGTGTAGGCCTTGGTGAAGTGCGCACCGTCCCTGGCAAGCTGATCCAAATTCGGCGTATGGATTATGGTGTTGCCGGCCTCACCCAGGCAGTCCCAGCGATGCTGGTCAGATATGATCATCAGCAGATTCAACTTGTCTGCCGTCTTGGGCTTCCATCGCGTGGCTCCCGTGAGAGGGGTTTTCGGTATCTGTGGCTGCTCGAAGGCAATGCGCCTGCCAACGCCAACCATTCCAGAGTGCGGGTAGAACTCGCGGACCGAGTCCCGATACGTGATCGCAACGTCGTTGCCAGCGGTCTGGTTGTATTCTGCGCAATTGCTGTCGCCGAAGCCTGGGCGGGTGAACGGCGTCTGCACGAGCGTGCACGGCCCCACTTCCGCGGCCGCTCTAATTTTAGATCTGGGCAGCCAGATAGAGAGTCGTTCGTATGCAGTCCTCCTTCCTCTGGGAATGTGACGACTTTTAGCTACTGGGAGACAAGGGAGAGGGAGGCGCGATTTCTAGGCCCTTGGGGGCCCTACCAATCAGCGCAGTCGGAGAAGCCGGTGAACGAATCTTCGGAGAGGATGGGGCAGTCATCACTGCCGCGCTCACTGGGTTGGAATGTACGTAAGAGCTACTACATACACATGAAGTTATCCGAAACGCAAAGTGCGCGTCTCCAAGCCCGCGAAGCGCAAGCCCGCAGAGACGCCCACGTGCAACCATCGACTGCAGAGAGCCCGATCGAGTTGGAGGCTCACTACCGCAACCGAACATTTGAAATGCCCGGCCCACACCTTTCAAACAGAGATTGTCGGTGCATCAACTTGGACCATCCACAAATGGCCAGCGCTCGACGGGTCGAAGGGAAAGGAGTGGGTGCCATCAAGCCAGCATCGCTGTTCAACACAAGTGAAGAATACGTGTACACGCAGGCTGCCGTCGCGGCACTGCGATCGTTGGCAATCGAACCAGACCACGCCCCGTTTGCCTTGACGCTGTCACTTCACAGTCCACATGGACCGCCGGAGACGTTCGAACAGTTCATTTCGGCCTACCCCGTCTTGCTCGATTGGATGTCGGGATCCGAAAAAGTGGCTGGAGTCACCATGGAAGAGATTGGCACCGCATTATACCACGCCCAAGTTTCGCAATCGGATTTTCTGTTCGGCCTCCTCCTGGAGGCCCTGGGAGAGCTGAAATTACGGCAGAGTACACTGGTCCTATTCTTCAGCGACCATGGCGCTACGTGGACTCCTGAGCAGGTGACTGGAAACCACTACAAAGGGGGTGTGATGGACAAGACGGACTTCCACAATCACTTCGCAGAGAGAGTGCGCAAGGTTCCCCTCATCTTGAGTTGGCCGGGAGTGATTCGAAGTGAGCAGGTCGTCAGCGCGCCCGTCTCCTTGATGGACGTCCACTCAACCATTCTTGCCGGCGTGAGGTTGGCGCTCGACGGAACAACAACTCGTTCAACACCAGAAGTGCATAGCCACGGGACGTCTTTGTGGCCCTTGATAGCATTGGTCAATGACCAACGCACCGCAAAGGACAAGCTACACAACCAAACCAGCTTGTTCGTCTATGGCAGGCACTCACTTAGCCCATTCAAGCCGATTTGGCCGGCGATCATCAACCCAATGTTTATGGCGCGCCGGGCGCAACACAAGCTAGTTTGCGACTACCCACACGTTCCCGGTGCAAATGAAGTGATCGTCGATGGCCAGCACATCCCAGTGCAGCAAAAGTGGTTCTGCACGGGGTGGGGAGACCGACAGCACCGACCGTTGCACGCTACCCCCAATGGCCACTGCATTGATGCAAGGGGCTTCAGAGGCACCCCGTGCTTTCTCTTCCTCTGCAAGACATCCGACGAACCATGTGTGCTGGTTGACAATCGGGTCAATGATAAACGGCACATGCACGATCGTGTTGCAACGCGTCTTGACCGAGACGCTCAGATGGCTTGGGAGCATTACACTGCGTGCAATCAATCGCCATTCCCCGATGAGGGCTTCCGATGATGCCAGAAGTAGCAACTGTCTGAGTACATTGTTGCCGTTTTGAATGTCACTCATCGACAGCTCATCGACTGTGATTTTGTGTGAGCTCTGTGTCTTGAGCTAACAACGTACCTAAGTCCTAACACTCATACGACAGCGGCACAAACAGGCAGACGGATCACTGTGCGTGCCTCCATCGGCGCGCGACGGCGCGGCGGGGGCTTCCACCCCTCCCTACTCGCGGCGCGCTCCTCAATGTGTGTGCATAGACACGTGTTACGATGTGTGCTGCGCGCGCGCGCGTGTGGAGGGGATCGATGTGGGTGGGATCTCGAGACTTGGAAGACGGACACGTCCCAAGGCGCGCGCGGCGGCACAAATACGTTAAGCGGTGACCCACACTATCGGAATGCGCAATGACGGTTCGCTCTCTGTGCGGGACGGGCGGTGTCATACAACAAAAACGCCCCGCGCGCGCGCTCTCCCTCTCTCACGTCTCAGTGGTCGTCGCCGGCGCCGCCGCCGGGAGGGCTACGAGTACGACAATGTGAATGTGCGATCTGGTCCTCACACGGCACACGGGGATGACCCGTCTCCTCCAGATCGAGACGGACTCCGAGATCGGCCAAGCAAATAATAATCACAGTGCAGGCCGGGGGGGCCCGCCCCCCAGAGACGGTTGCTTCCCCCAGGATTAGTCTTCTCTAAACTGAGGGGACGAACTAAGGGCGGCTGGGCGGGGCTGCGGCCGGAGCTAGCATGGCTCGTCAGAGCCGAGACCCCGGCGAGGCGGCGCTCCGATGGGCGGCTACCTAGCCAGTCGCGAGGTTCTAACCGCTGCAGATCGGCGACAAATAAACTATGGTCTATGCCAGCGGGAGATATTCGGCAGATGTGTGTATCTCCCGATCTCATCCCGGTGATGGACACGTGCGTGCGTCCCTTCTTGTGTTGCGTTTCGGACGTCCCTTCGTTGTGTTCTCCCCGTCCGCCAGCGAGACGCTCAGTTGCTGGGGCGGCCGCAGTCTTCTATGACGGCTTTATGTGCAGGCCCTGACTTTTCTTGTAAGCCTCGTTGATGCGGGGCGCAAGTCTAGTCAGCTGCCTTCGGGCCCCTTCTCGCCTTCGGGCACACGCACTCTCACGCGCCGAGCCACGCGCGGCCGGCCACTCTCATGCCCTTCTCCACGCACACCGCGTGAAATCCGCTCGTACGTCCCCGCGCGCACGCAAACACACGCGCAGCGCAAATTTGCCTGTGCCATGTGCGTCTGCCCTGTGCTGGCGCCCCATGGCTGTCCCGCACTAGCCACGCGCCTCTCGCACCACCAGAGCCAGACGCACGACCACTCACGCCGCGACGCGCGCGCGCGCGCCTTTTGCCAGGCGCCTGCACACTGCATCAGGCACCATGCCGTACCAGAGCGCGCCGCGCCCGGCACGACGCAGCTCCACCGCGCGAGGCGCGCGCGGCGGCACGCCGCGCGCGGCGGCCGCCGCGCACACGCCCCGCCACCCGACCAGATCTGCTGCACAGCCTGCTAGCAGGCCTGCTGGACACTCAACACACACGCACGCTCGCGCCGCCCGATCACTGCGCGGCTGACAGCACCCCGCGACAGCCCCGTTCCACCAGGCGAGGCGCGCGTGGCACGTCGCGCGCGCTCCCGGGCGGCTCGGCCAGGAATGCTTCACCCCTCATGCCTGTGCACTCCTGTGCAACAATACACTTACACACGCCCGCGCGGCTCACGCACTGCGCGACCGCCCGCGCCCTGAGAAAACAGCAGCTTACAACACAAGTGAGCACCCAGCTAGCAGCCCGCACGACGCAGCTTGCGCCCTCGCACGCCTGCACCTTAGCCAGCCATGCATGGCCTGCACCTTCTTCGCTTCTTCCACAAAAAAGAAAACCGAAAAAGAGAAAAACATCCCGCATAGACAAATATCTCCCGAGCTCTCGACCTGTCAAAAGAAAACACTCCTTTGGAAACGAATGAAGGCGTAGTGTGTGTAGCACCGCTGCCAATGACTGCCGGCGACGCCACACTGACAGTGAGATGGAACTCGCACCCCAGTCCGCAGTCCGATAAGGATCAACAGGAAAGCTGAACCCTGGGCTTAGACAGAACGGGCGTGGCAGGCTCCAGGGGAGGCCACGCTCTACCCGGGGCGCTAAGGAGGGAAATCGAAACTGTTGGGCGTCCATCGACAAAGGATACCCAATAATGACACATTATCAATCCCCCTGGCCCCCCCGAGCGCGCCGAGGACCGAACCTTGGGCTTGGCACGTAGAGCGCACGGGTCATCTCGGAGTGGCCCGTGGCCGCGATGAGTCATGAGATGAAGACTTCGGCGTAACGGCGAGACGAGCTATCGTCATCAGAAGTTCAGAACATCATGACTACTCCGCGGAAAGGGGATCACGCTCCGCGACCGCGTACTATTGGTCCAACGCGTAGCGCACAAAACCAAAAGCTCACGCCATGTCACGGCCTCGGGTCGCCCTCAGGGAGGGCGCCCAGGAAAGCGTGCTGCCGCTGGAGAGAGAGGGGCGGGCCGGCCCCCTCGGAGGAGCTCGGCCCAAGATCGGGCGCGACGGCGGTCGCCTATTCAGAGCAAAAGCGCGTGAAAGAACCTACTCGGGTCGGATGGCGGCGGTGACGCGTCGCCTCGATCCAGGAAATGCGCGCGTCCGAGCCCGCGCTGCCGCGGTAGTTGGGTAGCTCGCCCGCCGACTCATGTCTCAACCTGAAGGCGTGTTTCGTGCTGGTGTGTGTGAAGCACGTGCGTGGTCGCGATGGGGTGGTGATTGTGCGGAAGGCAAGGGCGAGGCGCACCGGCCGTACTCCTCCAAATCCATACTCTCCTGGTGCCCTATTGTCTGCCCGCCCGTGGGCACCACGAAGCCGGCGCTGCCGCCCGCGCCGGTGGCGGCGGCGACAGCGGCAGCGGCGGCGACCGAAGTGCGGTACGGCGTGCGATAGTCGGGCAAATCGCTGATCACTCCCTTGCGTTTGAACTCGGGGATGCGCATGTTCTCCTGGGGGGGGGGGGGGGGGGGAGGCTTGAGAGCAGCTTGAGGGGCGACAACTGTAGGTCCGTTGGGATCACAGTCGGAACAAACAGCAGCCGGGGAAGTGCGGAAATGTGCGGGCGGAAGCGACGGAACGGCCGCGGAGGCGACGGAACGGCCACTAGTGGCGGAGGCGAGGGCAGCGGGGCGGTGGTGGAGATGTAAGCGATGGCGACGGCGGCGGGCTCGGGAGTGGCGGTGAGCGGAGGCAATGGTGGTGAGAAACGGCACCTGCCCGAACGAGACGGCGCGCCTCTTGCGCAGCCACGGGTGGGACAGGATATCGGTTATGGTGAAACGCTTCGTCGGGTTGAGCGAGAGCATGCCTACGCCGAGGCTGGCTGAGGCTCCCATCGCTTGCGCGAGGGTGGGGTGGGTGGAGAGCGTAGGCACACGCCGTCGATTAGGTGGACCGCCTAACGCACGATGAACCGAGACAAGTTGAGATGAGCCCGAGATGGCCCCACCGTCGATTGGGGTAGCGGCCTCTGCGGAGAGCGGGCATTCGCGGTTGTAGAAGCTGAAGACGGTGCGCGTAAGCGAATGGCCCTGGATGACGGCCTAAGATTGCGCGTACCCCCGAATAGGTGAGGATGTGCTTTCTGGATCCGCCAAAACGAGCGCGGGTGTGTCTCGAAACCTTGCACACGCGCACGAATCGCCAATCCTGCGTTGTCGCGCCTGCGCCGGGCGGGTGAAACACCGCTGTCATCATGGCTCTGATATTTGCCCTTGTCGTGGAAAGGGGCACCTCGACGGGTCGCAACTGCTGCTGCTAGCGCGGAAGAGTCACAATCCGACAGCGGCAGAGCGGGCCAAGCCTGGGCTCAACGATATCTCTGCGATAGCACGCGCCGTCCAGCGGGAAGAAACCGGCGAGACAGCCGAACAAGCAAATGCCGCACGACCAAATGTCAGTTGCCGCGCCTATGGGGAGTTCTCGAGAAGCTCGGGGCTCGGAACAAATGCCGCACGATTCCGTGGTCCGTCGCCGCGCCGTCGTAGCCGCGACCGACGAGCACGTCAGGTGCGGCGTACGACTTTGAGCCACAAATCTCCTTGAGCTGCTCGCGCACCTATATAATTTGAGGCTCCCGAGAGAGTTTGGGGGAGGTGCGCCTTTGAGCCGCTCTCGTTGAACGCCGCACAATCTTGCCGCGCTCGCGCCGAAAGAGGTGGGCGAGGCCAAAGTCGCAGACCTGAGTGCAGAGCTGCAGGAGTGTGCGGCTGCGTGGAGCCGCGGGAGTGTGAGCCACAGCAATGTGTTGTGGAGCCGCTTGGGAATAGTGCGGGTGGAGCCGCAGAGTGTGCAAACGCGTGGAGGCCTTGCAGTCGTCGGCGTGATTAAGCAGCACATTCTCGAGCTTGAGGTCGCGGTGTATGACGCCCTGGTCGTGCATGTACTGCACCTGCGGCACGAGGCATGGACAGGACATGGACATGCCGTCGACGACGCCGTTGTGCATGGTGTGCACGCACCGCCGACATCAGCTGCGCAAAGTAGCACCGCCCGTCCTCCTCGGTGAGCGAGCCTGGAGATGGGCGCATCGTGGACGTGTCGCGGACGTGTCGCTGTGCGTCCGTCCTCGACTGTGCATGGCGCTGGGCAAGCGATGACCAGGCGTTAGGCGGAGCCCATGTGGCGAGGAGCCGGCAGGGGGCGTCGGAGGTGGGGGGGGTGGCGTTGCGTGAGCGGGCCTTGCTGCAGCACACGCGAAAAGAGCTCGCCTGTGTGTGGAGGAGGGCGGAAGGAATGCCAACAATGCACGCCCCGTGATGCTGCGTGGCTGACTACCCGGCGGTGAGGGCAGCTTGGGGCGGAGGGCATGCCGCGTCTGCACGGGCGCTGCCGCTCGGGCGTTGCAAAAAGGCGTCGGGGGTTGGAGGTGGAGACATGGGCCGGCGGAGAAAAGAGCGTAGCGAGTGGTGTGGGCGACACTGCGCGATAGGTGTCTCGGAAGTGTCTCGCGCCGTGCGCCGCCAACTCCATAAAGATGACGCAGTCGCCGCGGGAGACGGCCTCAAAGCCGCGGAGGCCGACGATGTGCGGGTGCTTGAGCATCTCGAGCAGCCCCACTTCGTGCTGCACGGCCTCCTTGCGCATTTTCCGCGCATCCACCAGCTTTGCCGCCACCCGCTCGCCGCTCTTGGAGTCGCGCGCGGCGACGACCTGCAGCGGAGGAGAATGCAGGTCGAGTGAGGCGTGGGTGGCGGTGGCGTTGCGACGGCGAAAAAAACTGAGGGGAGAAGCTGCGGTGAGGGCGAGCTGACGGCGGCCGTCAGCTGACAGCGATGGAGAGGGGGCAACAACCTTGCCGTAGCCGCCTGAGCCGAGGAGCTCCTCGGTGGCGATCTCGAAGCGCCCAACCTTGATCATCTGCGGACGGTGGGAGCCCGGACCCGGTTGGTGCGAGGGCAGTCCCGCTTTCGCATCGGCGGATACAGGAAGGGGGGCGGGGGGCGGCGGCGGCGCGCTTGGCAAAGCCGAGGACAGGGCGGTGCGGAGAGAGCGTTGCAAAATTCTTTTCTGTGTGCCCTTGTATTAGGTGTATTGTTGGCAAATCAAGACACAGAGCTCACACGTCGCTGAAGGACGGGTAGTCGTCGATCATGCGGGGGGAGGGGGAGTCGGCGAGCAGCAGGGAGGGGAAATGCCTGAGAGGGCGGGGAGGGAGGCGTGAGGCGCGAGGTGAGGGGCGTGGGGTGGGGCGTGCGTGGGTTGCGCGGCGTGAGGCGCAGGGCGTGAGGCGGAAGGGCGCGGGGGCAAGGAGTTGTGTGTGTGTGTGTGTGTGTGTGTGTTGGGTGTGTTGGTTGTTTGTGCGAGGGCAGGGCAGGGCAGGGCGGCGGCGAGCGGCGAGCGCTGACAGGTCGCACGTCGCTCCTTTGACGCCGACGTGACTCACCCGTACAGAGCGCATCATAACACAGTCTCGACGCGCTCGGTACGACGCCTGCGACCCGTCTCGGGTCAGGTGGCACGACGCTCATCGCGCCTACCAGCGCTGCCGTGCAGGTTGCCACGACGAGGTCGAGCACGCTTCAAGGACCGGCACGCCCCCCCCCTTGGGTGCACATGTCATGTGCATGTCCCTAAATCCCATCTCGTCTCAGTACTCATCTTCTTCTCTGTTTGACCGTTTTATTTGTTTATTTATTTACTCCTGTCCTTGAAAGGTCCCCCATGCCAGTTTCGGGGGGCAAACCCTGCCCGGCCCCTAGAGCCCCAGGTAAGGTCCAGGTGTGGCCTAGGGCATCAGAAGGGACCAAGAGGAGTCCAGTCTGAGCCATAGAGCCCATGTCTTTGCCCCCGAAGGTCGCGTTCAAACGCCCGGAACGGCCGTTACAGTGGTGTCCGGCCGGCGCGATCACCGAGCTGTGACGCTCAGGGAAGCCCAATGAGGTGCTGGTTTCTTTGGCCAGGGCTGGCCTACGGCCCGTGCTGGATCAGCTGAGCAAGGTTTGGGGAGAATCCTATATTGGGATCTTCAGATATTTTTACGGATGCCCGAAATCATCCGTTTTTGCCCAATTTTCTTGAGAGAGATTTCTTGTGTGTGGGTTTGTGCATTGTGGTGGTACTTACTCTCCTTCCACAGCTTCTCCATCCTAAGACCTTACAGTCTCCTTTTTACGTCAACCTCTTCAAAAGTCTCTCACAGCTGGCACGAGCCACGACAAGGGCGTGGTCCGTGGACTGGCGGAAGCCCGATACGGCACATTTGATAAAAAGAATTTAAACAAAACAACTCTCTCTCACTGCAGACAGGCTCGACACAGGTGCGGACTGAAAAGAAAAACAAGCCGAGTTGTGTGCGCGCCGTGCTGTCTGTGTGTCGCTCGTGCGTGTCGTAATCATCTGTCTAGCGTCCACCCATACCGCGTTGGTGTCCAGTCCGAGCCTGCCTGGCTGTTCTTCACCTTCCTACCTAACCTAACTAACCTAGTGCCAGTGCGCGCCAGTCCCGTATAAATAAATAAAACGGACATGCCATGAAACGAGGGGTGGGAGAAGGACAGGGTCCCCACCTGCACGAGCAGGATCTCGGAAGGACGATCGGCGCCAGCCGGCACGTCAAATTTTTTTCCGCACCCTGCAAACTCCTGCGCGCCGCCACAGAGAGCTCAAGGCACAAGGGTGGCTCTCCGCGCCAGCCCCCCCCCAACCCAACCGCCGCAACATCGCCCCCGTGCCGCGTTACCGTCCCGCCGCGCCCGAACAGACGGCTCGTCGCCAATAGGCTTCGCAGCCGACCCCTTTGCTGCGCTCTCAGGTCCAGTCACTGCTCTCGGGCGCAAGGATTTCCACAAGCCTGCCTGGAGCAGGCGCGTCGCCGCTCGCGACTGCGTGCGTGTGGCTGCGCCTCTCTCTCTCTCAGCGCCGCGCGCGCCTGTCCCGCTTGCAGGCCGCACCAGCGGCCAAGATGACGGCGTCTGCGGTTTTTATCCTCGACATGAAGGGCAAGGTGATAATCTCTCGCAACTACAGAGGGGACGTGCCGATGAACTGCGTCGAACGCTTCAGTGGGCACGTGCTGGAGGCGGAGGCCAATGACGAGCGCCCAGTGTGGCTCGAGCACGGTGCGTCGCCACCGCATTTCCCTGCCGCAGCGGCTGCGCTTTTGCTGAGCCGCCACGCTCTCTCCCACAGGCACAACCTACATCTACATAAAGTACAACAACCTGTACATTATGGCGGTGACGCAGCGCAACTCCAACGCCGCGATGATCCTCCTCTTCCTCTACCGCCTCGTCGAGGCGCGCGGCCGCTGCTCCATTGCCCTGGCCAGCGCCGCAGCTGCGCTGGGGCGTCTCTGCGCGGCGCGCCGTGTGGGACGGCGCAGCCTCACGCCCCCCCTTTTTTGCGCGGCAGGTCTTCAAGGACTACTTCAAGGAGCTGGAGGAGGAGTCGATCCGCGACAATTTCGTCATTACCTACGAGCTGATGGACGAGATGATGGACTTTGGCTACCCGCAGGCGCGACTCGTCCCAGACACTTCCCAGAAACGCGCGAGGTTTTTGCCAGATGGACGAGAGGTGGTGGCCACACCTGCGGTCGATCGGTCGGTCTTACACACGTCCCTGTGGTGCGCGACGGGCCACGCGCACACGAAACAGACTCGCGCGTCTCACACGCCGAGACTCTTTGGCCACGGCCAACCTGCCCCGCAACCCATTGGCTTCCCCCCACAGGTTTCAGAGCCAAAGATTCTGCGCGAGTACATCACGCAGGAGGCGCACAAGCTCGAGGCGCGCTGCACCCGCCGCATCAGACGTCGGCAACTTGCCTGGCCGCCGCACCTGATCGGCGCGCGCCTCTCGGCAGGTGGTCAAGCCGCCGATGGCTGTGACCAACGCGGTCTCGTGGCGTTCCGAGGGCATCAAGCACCGCAAGAACGAGATCTTCCTCGACGTGGTCGAGCGGCTCAACTTGCTGGTTGCCGCCAACGGCACGCTGCTGCGGAGCGAGATCCTCGGCGCGCTCACGTACTCGTCGATGCGCCTGTCCGCACTCGTCCATGACAATCCACGACGTGTCGCATAGGCTCGCTCAAAATGCGCTCCTACCTGTCCGGCATGCCTGAGCTCAAGCTCGGTGCGAGAGACCCGCGCGACGCGCCGAGAGTTATCTGAGAGTTGTCCCAGGGTTGCCTGCCGGAGCTCAAGCTTGGGCGAAACACGACCACGAACCGCCACGAACCGCCCACGACGCGCCCACGACGTGGGCAGGCCTCAACGACAAGCTGCTCTTCGAGGCGACCGGCCGGCGGACGGGCGGGCGCGGGCTCTCCAAGGGCAAGGCGGTCGAGATGGAGGACATTAAGTTCCACCAGTGCGTCCGGCTCGCGCGCTTCGAGAACGACCGCACGATCTCCTTCATCCCGCCCGATGGTCCGTTTGAGCCGAGACGCATCCTAGACGCGCCCGTGAGACATCCGAGAGCGCGAAGCACCACGGACACAACGGCGGGCACCCGAGAGCCAACGGTTGAGCCCCCCCCCCCCCCCCCGCCGCGCGCGCAGGCGAGTTCGAGCTGATGAGCTATCGGCTCAACACGCAGGTCAAGCCGCTCATCTGGATCGAGGCGGTCGTGGAGCCGCACTCGCACTCGCGGATCGAGTACATGATCAAGGCCAAGTCGCAGTTTAAGCAGCGCTCGACGGCTAACAATGTCGAGATCGTCGTGCCCGTCCCCGCCGACGCCGACACGCCCTCCTTCAAGACGTCGATTGGCACCGTCAAGTACGCGCCGGAGCGCGACGCGATTGTGTGGTGACCGACTAGCCGAGATTCGCCGAAAGATTCGCCGAGATGAGGCGCCAGAGCGCGACGCGAGTGGGTGTGTGGGGGGTCCACCCCCCGTGGGGTCCACCCCCCTCGAGGCCGCCCCCGCCCAATGCACCTCCTTGCGTTCCCACGCGGCCGCCGCCTCCTTGCGTTCCACATGCCCCCGCGCCGCGCACCCGCAGGAGCATAAAGCAGTTCCACGGCGGCAAGGAGTACCTGATGCGCGCGCACTTTGGGCTACCGTCGGTCTCCAACGAGGAGGAGAAGAAGGACAAGCCGCCGATCACCGTCAAGTTCGAGATTCCGTACTTTACCGTTTCGGGGATCCAGGTGCGATACCTGAAGATCATCGAGAAATCGGGCTACCAGGCGCTGCCGTGGGTGCGCTACATCACGCAAAACGGAGACTACCAGCTGCGAATGGGCTGACCGGCCGCGTGATGGTCGCGCGCAGACCCGCCGGACTGCGGCGCGTCTCGCAGCAGCGTGGCGACAGCGAGGATCGCTTTGTAAGGGCGCGCGCCGCAGCGGCGCGCGTATTTTTATCGACCTCTTTATCTCCTCTCTTTTCTAGCAGCCTTGGGGGCTGGGGCTGTTCCGTGTTCGCGGTGGTGGGTGGGCCCCCCGGCCCCCGCTGCCGGTGCCGCTCAACCGCGACCGCGGCGCACCGAGACGCGACATACGCGAGAGCCGCAGCAAAACTGTTAACTGACCCTAGGGCGATTCCTGCTCGGGGCTATAACGGAACTGATCGTGAAAACTCTCGATACGAATTGGTTTCGTTGCGGAGCATAAAGAGTGAGACGGGCGAGCTTCAAACTCAGTGAGACGGGCTGGTTTATCAAGCGTAAATTCTAGGATGGGCTAGCCGCAATCTCCCATCCTTCGCTGGTCGTGGCGGTCCGCTGCACGAGGGCCGCCCTTATCACCGGCCCGCCGCACACCAACCTTTTGAGCTTCCGTGGCGCCCCCTTTTCTGCCCGGGCTCGGCGCGACTCCGGCCCCCACTCCTCGCGTGTGACGCTCGCAGAGGATTGTCCACCGTCCTCCCATATCTCCACTTCGCACCATCCGCCCGCGCCTCTTTCCCTCACCGTTGCGAGGCTCGGCGCTCCGGTCTCATCTTGCGTTGTTGCCCTGAGCTCTCCGGTTTCCATCCATTCGAAGACCGGCGCCTCACCTTGTGTGGGTGCGACCCATCGCCTGCCCTGCCCGTCATCATTCATGCATGTCCATGCATTTCCAGGCAGCTCGCTCGTCCGCACGCATTCCTGCCAATCTATTGGGCGAGGGCGATTGAGAACGGCGCCTCGGAGGGTGGCTAGCCACGCCTCTGGCAGGCTTTCAATTAATCGGCTGTAGTTAAGATTCCGTAATGGCGTAAATTATACTGCGCTCATGTTACAAACTACGGGCAGGCCGGCAGCGCCCGCACTATTCAAACGGGAAGGTTTCCTCCCTTCCACGCCGCCCCGGCCTCGTCCTCCTCCGCCCCGCTCTCCGTCGCCGAGGCCCTGACAGCAACGCGATGGCCCGATGCGCCGATGCGCTCGGCTCTCCATGCTCTGTGCCTCACCGCGTCGCGGCGGAGGCGGCGAGCGCCTCGTGTGCCAGCGGCCCCCGCGGCCGCCGCCACCACGAATCATCTGGTCCGAGTCCGGAGTGAGCGCATTGCCAAACTCGTAGCACGCGAAGTACTCGCCCTTCTTCCGCTTGAACGTCACCTCCATCCGGCAGAGCGCCTCAAAGTCGCAATCGGTCACCACACGCGCACCGCCCGCCTCGCCAGCATCCCCCAGCAGCTCTTCCATAGCGATGCACAGGTCGCCCATCTGCAGCGGCGGCAGCTCGTGCCAGTGGCTGTCCGTGTCAGTCAAGTCGTTGCCGTCGTTCATCGCCATCCCCGGCCGGCATCCCGTGCCCCTCGCCAACACGTAGTCCTCGTCTTCCATTTGCGGCGGGCGCCCGGCAGCCAGCGGCAGCCGGCGGCAGCCAGCTGCAGCCAGCGGCAGCGGACGCAGTGCCACGGCACTCCGACTGGTCGGCTCTGAGCTCTGTGCCAAATTCGCCGCCCTCGTCCCGCCAACTCGTACCCCCCCCCCCCCCCCAAAATCTTCTGCACTCACTTTTTAGATACATAAATAGGAGATACACATGTACGAGCCCGCCTAGGTGGGCGAGCAGGCGAAACCAAACACGAGCGCGCGCAGCTCGCCTTGAAGTACATAATTGTCATGGAGAAGTACGAGGAGGGGCTCGTGGAGTCGCTCAGGTTCGACACCGTCCTGCGCACCCTCGCGACGTTGGAAGCCGAAAAGAGGCGCTTTGGCGTCGACACGAGCGGGCGCTTTCCTAGCTGGCGCAACGTGCCGCCGCTCTGTATCTTCGCGCCAGAACAGGTGGCGGCGCTGCAGGCGACGATCGACTACTACTTGCCCTCGCCTGCTGCTGCCGCCGAGCAGCCCGAGGCGGCGCGCGGCGAAAACGACGGAGAGGGGTCCGAGGCATCGCACCCGCAGTCTGGCGGCTCGGCCGGCGGCGGCTCGGCCGGCGGCGGCTCGGCCGGCGGCTCGCGACGATGGCGCACTTGCTTAGCGGCGCCTGCCTGGGGAATAGGGAGCAGGCCAGATGGTTCCTCAGAGTAGCGCGAGCGCAGACGGGGACGGCGATCAGCAAAGTAGCCCAGGCGGCACCCGACTCCAAGGATACGCTGAAGACGCTGAGGATAGCGCATGTCGCTGCGCTGAAGGGCTCACGCTACTGTATAGGGTGCTGGATGAGGACGGGTACGATGCACTAGCCCCAGCCGTCGGGGGGGTGTTGCCGGCGCTGGTAGATGATCTCTCGGAGAAGAGCTGGAGGGACCTTGGCGCCGGGGTCACGAGGAACTTGCAAGTCGTGGCCGAGGCGGCGACGGGCGCGGTGCAGAGGTGGATCCAGCTCAATGATGAGGCTACGGCGCGCATAATGAAGAGAGAGGAACACATCGAGTGGCTGAGGAAGCTCTTCACTGGGTGGAAAGAGGCTCGGCCGGCCTTGAGGGAGTCGCAGAGGAGGGATAACGCAGGCAACGCAGGGACGGGCCAACAGCCAGTGGGACGAACGAGGGCCGCGACGGCGGCTCAAGCGGGAGGGAGCGGAGACGGTGGGCAGAGAGCGAAGTGGGTGAGACTGATGATGCTCCTTCGACTTAGGGAGCGGTTCAGATGCTGGGCGGGCTTCAGGCTGGTGCTCACGCGAAAAGGAATCGACGCGATGTGCAAAGCATACAAGAAGGGGAGAAGGAAGAGGAGAGACGCCGGTGAACTATCTCAGCCGGCCCCGGCCGGGACGGGGCCTACAGAGAGCCACCCCCCCGGACGCAAGCTCTGTGTGGCTCCTGGGGCGTCCGCCGGGATCCCCCTATATTGCTGCCACACTCCCGCGAGTGTTGGGCCGTGCCCGCAGGCCGCCTTGGCGTGCCTCTTCGAGGCTGCTGAGTGCCTCCTTGCTGCCGAGCGCCCACCCACCCCGCCGCCACCGCCGCTGCGCGTAAGCTTGGGCTTGGCGAGGGACGAGTGGGATGGTCACGAGCCCTTCAACGAGGACGTGCATGCATGCGTACACGGCGCGTGAGGATGCGTACGAGTACATCGACAGCGACGAGCGGGAGGAGCGGCGGGGTGATAGAATCTTGGCCCGTCGTTGGGCAGCATACGCGTACCCTTAGTTAGCAGCGGCTCTGATGAGTAGGAAATGATCCTCAAGAAATAGTCCATTGTACCCATGCGGAGCCTTTTGACCGCGCAAGATAAAAGGGTGGCTAAGGGCTCTGCCCGCAAGGCGCCCGCGTCGCAGACGCGGTACCATTGACAAATCTGCGATATACCCCCACACGAGCAAATAGCAAAATCCGAATACCGTGCACGAATCCGGCGATGTGGGACCCAAGCCTTCAGCTGGTGCCAAGACGTAAAGTTGAAAGCAGAACGTCCGCCAAATCCGTGCTTTCGGAGCAACTGAGGGAAAGCTCCTGATCGAGCCCAGCGTGCCCGCGGCCGCCTCCCGCGCAGCACCGCCGCTGCGGAATCGGATCGAGCCCATGGAGGAGGAGGGCGCAGTCGGCCAGCGCAGCAGGCGGAGTCCCTCCCCGCGCCGGAGCCCCCCTGCAGTCGAGGGAGTCCTCGTTGGCGATGAAGGTGGCGACATCGAATCGCGGCCGACACACGTCACGGGAGGAATGGGCGATGAGCGGGAACGATGCGCGCTACGACGCCGACTCCGCCGTGCTCGTGGCCGCAGAAAGCCGCGCTCCAGGAGCACGCCAAGATGCAATGGCTCGCTTGCTTCGATTCAGCTCTCTCGGCAGCAGAAGTGGGGCTGGAGCGGGTGGGGGTGGATGCCGATTGAGGGGGAGCGTCTCCAGCTGCGCCCTGTGGCAGCTGCGCCCTGTGGCAGCTAGTCGAGGGACTTGGTAGTTGTGACCCCCCTGAGTGAGGACAGGAGAGAGAGAGCGTTTTGTGGTGTTGGTGTACGCAATAACGGGACAGGGTGGTTGTTCTCTATATCTCCTCTTCTAGCTCTTAGCATGAGCTGCGCCCGGTGTCCGACCCCTTTTGCGCAGCAACACCTTAAACTTTTAGGCCCTCCAAATTCGGGTCGGAGCGTAGCGGAGTGGGCCCCGAGTTTGAAAAGGGCGACGGACGCTTGCGTCCTAGCCTCCAACAACGCCTCCCCGGCGCAGAGGGGCCCCCGGAGGGAGATGCACAACCGCTCCACGCCACGCCGCTTGCGGCGGTCCTCTTCCCAGCTCCGCTGAGGGCCCGTGCGTTATATTTGACGAGAGCAAAAGAATTTAAACAAAACAACTCTGTCTCACAGCAAAAGAAGGCGAGCTCTTTCGTTCCAGGAGGCGGCGACACCCCGCGTCCGTATTCCTGGTTTTCGCCCGCCGCCCCACCGAGCGCCGAGATCGATGGACAAGACTGAGACTGACACGGCAGCATCCATTCTCCTGAAGCTTTCTGCCTTGCCCCAGGCAAGGCGCCCTGTGCCATGCAGTGATGACCAGGATGCATGTGACGACAATTATCTGGACCGTATCCTTGCACTAGGGGGGAATGGGCGGTCGGCGTCGGGGTAGATAGAAGAGGCAGGGCGTACGGGGTAGTCGTCACACCCTCCTGCCTCACAAGGGCGGGGCTGTCCCGGAAAGTGAGAAACGCCGGGCAGCGTGACGCACAACTTTACCCTCCCACCCATACGTGTTTGCGGCTCCTCCTTCGTTCGCTGTCCGATCTCCTCATCTCTTTCCCACCTAGGCGGGGCGGGGGCGGGGGGGCGGCGGGCGCGGGTGCGGGGTGCGGTGCGGTGCGTGCAATCGTGTGTTTGGCGTCATGTGTGTGGTGTGCCTTCCCTTGTTCCTACTACGAGAGGGCCCGGCTCGAAAATCTTTTCATGCCAACCCGGAGAAGGTCAGTGCGAAGGGCAACAAGTCACTCGCATGGACGACACGTCGTCACATCGCCCGCTGGGCGCGCAGATCGGCAAGCTCTCGTGCGGCACGCAGCGCTGGATGAGCACGCCCTCCTCGGCGTCGGCGTCGTGGGCGAGCGCAAGCAGCGCCGCAACCAGTGCTGGCGCCGACGCGTGGAAGCAGGCCTCGTCGTTCTTCGTGCGCAAGTCGGACGAGCGACTGCCGCTGCTGGCCGACCTGGAGGCGGGCTCCCTCGGCTCCGTCGCAATGCGAGTAATGGGGCGAGGCGGGATGGGCCCGCCCGCATCGCGGCTGCAGTATTGGTGCCGCTGCTGGTGCCTGCCTGCCCTCTCATATCGGCAGCGCATCGTCGGTGCAGCCTTTTGCTTCGTATCGGGCCTGCTGATGCTCGGCTCCTCGCTCCTCTCGCTCACCTCGCTGCTCCTCGGTAGCCCGGGCCCGTTTGCAGTGAAATACACACTGGGGAACCTGCTCTCGATTTGCGCGATCGGCTTCCTTGTCGGATGGGGCAATATGTGCCGCTTGATGTGCTCGAGGGAGAGGCGGGTCGCGTCGCTCATCTACCTCCTCTCGCTGTGCGGCACGCTGCTCGCCGTGCTGCGGCTGCAGTCACAGCTACTAGTCACGTTTGCTGTGCTCGTCCAGTTCGCCGAACTTAGATGCTGTGGGCTCAGATGCGTGTTAGTCGCTTGGGGGCCGCCACGCAGCCGCCTGCGTACGCCGTACTCTGGCAACACGCGCCTTCCGCCCTCACCGCCCCGCCCCGCGTTCCTCAACGCGCACAGGCTCGGGGCGCTCGCTTGGAGCGGCGCCTCGTATTTACCCTTTGGCCAGCGCACGCTCCGCCTCTGCTTCAAGTCGGTCCGAGCCCCCCACCCTCAGCCCCACTCCCAGCCCCACGGCCTCCCCACCCCTCCCTTCTCCTTCGCCCCTCCCGCCCACTCTCCTCCCGCGCTCCCTCCTCTCCCTCCCCTCTGCTCGCAGGGCTTCCGCCTGCTGCCGTTCTGAGCACGTGAAAACTCCTGTGGCGGAGGGCCAAAGGCATGCCGCATACGAGCGTGTGGAATGTGCGCCTGTCTTTCCGAGCGTATCATCTCTCCTCTCTGACCTTCCTTTCTTTTGACCAGCTACGGGGGCTATCGGTAGATTGCGCACCCTCTTCCTCGACCGTGGGGGGGGTGCGCGGTCGCAGGGCCATAACACGGGTCTCCGAGGGCGTACGGCAGCACTCCGGGTTTCCCTCAGCGGCGGAATTTTTCCCTCGCGCTTCCTTGGGCCCCCCTAGCAGCAGACCGCACCCCCTCTACTCGGAGCTAAAGAATACTCTCCTAGTGATTTGGACGGACGGATACACCCCCCCTTTATGCCTGACCCGAGGGCGTACTCTCTAGACACAGCACAAGACTCCACACGTGGGGCAGCCGACGCGGGCCGTTGAACACTAAATTAGATGGGCGAAAACTCGACACACAAACATACGCCCGGCGCGCGTCCCCTGCACCACTTTGAACGCGAGCTCGCCATTTGGCGTGCCCAACGCGTATTCATACTCGCGCCCGCCCTGACGTCCGTGGCCCTTGCGAGCGAGAGCTACATCGTCGAGGCCTCCCCCTTGCCCTCGCCGCCTCCACCGTCAGCCTCGCGGCCACCGCCTGCCGTCTCCCCCTACCCACGGCCGCCCTCTGCCTCACCCTCACGTCCGCCAACATGGCCTACCGTCTCCCCCTACCCGCGGCCGCCCTCGGCCTCCCCCATCCCGCCGCCACCCTCACGTCCGCCAATTTGGCCCAACGTGTCTCCGTCACCGCCGCCACCGCCATCTGCACCGCTGCCCTCCCCTCCTCCACCATCCACCTCGCCTTCCCCTCCGCCGCCTTCCGCCTCGCCCTCCCCACCGCCAGCGCCTCCGCCGTCCCCGCCGCCACCCTCACGCCCGCCGATCTGGCCCAACGTCTCTCCGTCACCGCCGCCACCGCCATCGGCGCCGCCACCACCTCCTTCACCCTCGCCGCCGCCCGCGGCGCCGCTACCACCTCCACCGCCTTTGCCACCGCCCTCTCCATCACCGCCCCCGCGCTTGCCGCCGCCCACCTCGCCGCCCACCTCGCCGCCCACTTCGCCGCCACGCGGTCCCCCACCCTGGTCTCCGCCTCCCCGAGTGCCGCCTCCGTCATCGCCACCGCCGCCAGCTCCGCCTCCCCCCTCGCCACCGCCTCCGTCGGGATTGCCACCTCTATCTCCGTTGTCCCCGGCTGCGCCGCCGCCATCGCCACCGCCGCCCTTCGCGCCACCTTCTCTGCCACCCTCTATACCACCGCCCTCAGCCCCGCCCGTAGCGCCTCCACCAGCAGTACCACCACCATCCCCGCTGCCGCCGTCGTTGCCGCCACTCCCGCCGCCACCCACTGCGCCACCCTCGTCCCCGCCGCCCTCGATGCCGCCTCCGTCGCTGCCACCGCCACCTGCTCTGCCTCCCCCCTCGCCACCACCGCCATCGGGGCTGCCACCGCTCTCACCTTCACCTCCAGCTGCGCCGCCGCCGTCACCGTTGCCGTCAGCGCCGCCGCCCTCTGCGCCGCCCTCTGCGCCGCCTCCATCCATCCCACCAACCACGCCTCCGCCCTCTGCACCACCCTTTTCGCCGCCACCCTCGCCACCACCGCAGCCGGCACCACCGCCTCCCTCGCCCCCGCCGCCGTCGGGCCTCCCACCACTCTCACCCTCACCTCCGGCTGTGCCGCCGCCATCTGCGCCTCCTAGACTGCCGCCCGTGTACCCGCCGAGACTGCCGCCCGTGTACCCGCCGACGGTACAAGCCGATCCCGGAGCGCCCCGTATCGGTATCGCCATCGCGGGCTCGGTAGTGGGAGGGCTCGCAGCCCTAGGCCTCGGCATGGCTTGGCACTACCGAGCCAGCTTGAGCAGGCTCGCGCTGCGCAACCGAGGCAGGGAGCCGGTGCCGGTGAGCCGAACGGACACAGAGTTGGAGCTGAGTGAGTTGCGGCGGGCGATGGGAGCGGCGGTGCAGCACAGCGGCCTCGGCCTCGACACCGTACACACGGAGGACTCCTTTACCACGTTGAGGGGAGGCAGGTTCGCGACGGGGGCGCACGAGCTGGTTTTTGGACGGCCGGCGCAGGCTGCGCTGGGCATTAGTCACTATCTACTGGTGCCAGAGGGTCGACTGCACCGTGGTCTCGCCGAGGGCACCGCCGCAATCGCCAGGGAGGTCGCTGCACTGGGGACACCGGCCGCGTGCGAGTGCCTCGAGTATGTGCTGCACGCCGAGGCGGGCTCAAGCGACCTCACCTACCAGGACGGGCTGAAGCGCGACTGCGATGAAGACGGCAACGTGCTCGAGTGCCGGACGATCCGCTTGGCAGCGGAGTACACTGTGGTGGCGGAGGAGCGAGCGCGTGGTAGCGACACGGCGGCCGCGGCGACGATCCAGCAGTCATTTAGGCGGAGGCGTGGCCAAATAGTGAATGGCGTGCTCCCGAGAAGACCGTCCCGGCGAGGGATGCGGCTCGCGGACTTTGTCAACCACCCTTCAGCCCGGCTCGCCAGGCTCACGGAGGCACAAGTGGTTGCGCTGCGACTGTACACCACGGCCGCCTTCTCCGCCATCAACGACCCCATGCGCGACCAAGATCGGTACGAGCGCGGAGAGCCGCACCCGTTGCCGGTGACGGTGGCCAATTTGGGCGAGGCGCTCAGAAAGCTGCGCGCCGTCGAGGCGGATCTACACGCCGGCACGGCCATGCAGCGGTTGTGCCTCTACCGCGGCATGAGAAATGTCACGGCACCGGCCGAGTTCATGGCGCGCGGCGGCACTGAGTTGGCGCCCATGAGCACGACCTCCGACCTCGAGGTCGCCATGCGCTACTCGGCCAGCCGGAGGGCGGTGCTGCTGCGGCTCATCACCGAGTCCTTCTATGAGCGCGGCCCGGACATCTCTTTCGCTTCTGCCTTCCCCGCCGAGGCGGAGTTCCTCTTCCCGCCCCTAACATACCTCCAGCCCACGGGGCACGTAGAAGTCGTCCTCATCGAGGGCTTGCAGTACGAGGTGGTCGATGTCCGCCCTCGGATATGACTTATGAGAGCAACGGCCTTACTTCACTCACTCTTGAGCAGTACCGCATGGTGGCAAGCTACACAACCCGCGTTATGATGATACACAAAGTAAAACTAAGCCGTCTTTCTTCGGAAGTCGATTTTGTGGTTTGCATTTTTCAGATTTTGGGCCTAGCCCGGGCGCGCGGGCGGGCCCAAAATCCGCTAACGCCGGAAACGGGTCACCGCATGTGTGAGACGATACACAACTCCGCGCATACGTCATGATGATATAATATAGAGAGAGAGACCCCACGTACAAACAAAGGAGCTCCATAAATTAAGCCACACAGACTATAGTTTGTGCCTCTGCGCGAGCAGGCCGCGCCACCAGAGTCCGGCCTTTGCGCGGTCGACGCCGGCGCTCCAAGCCTCCGCCTCGGCTTTCATGAAAGCGTTGTGACTCAAGCCGGGCAGGTCAGCGGAGTCGTTGCCCAGCGGATTCTCCAGCATAGCGCCAATGGCGAGCAGCCCCGCGTGCAGAACGGTGAAGCAGAGGACGCGCAGCCAGCCGCAGGCGAAGAGCACGCCAGCAACTCGCGGTCCCGGCTCTTCCGCCAGGCCCGCCTGCCGCCCGAGGACGACGCCCACCGTCAGCGCGTTGACGACGAGCGCCGCCGAAGTGATGATGGAGAGAAGGTGAACGTACGGGTACGACTGCTGCCCGCGTGCGATGGACAGGCAGGTGCCGATGGCAGCCTGCTCACGTGCTCTCTGCTCAGCGCTCAGAGTACTGTACTCGCCTTGCTGTGCCACTCGGCCCCGAGCCGAATCCCTCTTTGCCTTCTCTCCTGCTACCGCCCACCGCACCTGCCCGTCGAGGCTCAGCTGCATGATGGCTGGCATCATCTGATCGGCGTGGGGTACGGGCGTCACGTCGAGCTCGCCCGCTAGCGCGCGCGACCAGAAGAGTGTCATCCATGACCAGATAACAGCGCTCCGCTCGGGGAGCGAGGAGAGCGCCTCAGCCTCCTCGCGAAGCAACAGTCCCGAGTGCACCTGTGATTGCGCGTGCAGCCTGAGCGGGGAGAGGGTCGCTCCGGCGGTGTCAAGGGACTCTAGAAGGCTGCGCCAGGTCGTCGAGCCGCTGGTCATCTCTCGCCTGCTTGCACAGCAGGGCGTGCGACACCGTCCCGAGCCTCTTTACCAGCGCGCGTGCCGCGCAGTCCGCCACCGTCCCAGAGTGGAACCAGCACGCGGCGTGGATGCTGAGCCCATTGACGGCACCAAAGAGCCCATTCAGAGCTTGCTCGCGCAGCGCCCACCACTGGCCAGTTGCAGTGCTAACAAACGGAGCGAGCAAAAACAGCAGCCCGCCGCAGACGATCCCGTTGAGCCCCACGAGCGCTGCGGCAACCTCTGCGCTTATGCGTGGTCCGGCCGCACCAGCCACGATCGCAAGCACGCTGCTGTAGACGAGTTGGCTGCGGACCGAGGCATCACCCAGGACGGTTGCCGAGAGGGTCATCGAGCACAGGGCGCGCCACGGTCCGCGGAGGGCAAAGAGGCGCGCCGAGTCGTACCGGACCACCTTTCGCGGCGCTGAGGACGAGCTGCTCACCTCGAACCAGACGCCCGTGCACTGGTCTCCAATGGACTCTGCGCGAAAGCCGAATTCGGCGCCGAGGTTGGGTTTGCGAGGGAGCAAGCCCCGCCCGCTCTCGGAGTGGGCGGGCCGCGGTCCTGCCGTGAACATGACGCGCCGAGCAGCCTTTCGGAGTGCTTTTCGCAGTGTGCACGCCCTCAGTCAGGCCGGCTGAGTCGGAGCGTTCTGCAGCGACAGCGCGCCGGGTGTACACAAAGGGTGAGGGACGCACGCCTGCGCGCTCGCCGGCTCCACGCGACCTCGGTACTTTCTCAGATCTCACGACCCTCGTCAGGCAACACACAGCCAAATGCGCGAGGCGCGAGGACGCTCCTGGGCCGCGTTTGAACGGTGTGAAAACCTGCTTGCTCGTTCTCAGGGAGGGGCATAGTCCCGTTCACACCCTCACTTAGGCATGAGCGCCCGAAACTTGAACGGCGGGCGCTTGACGAATCCGAGGAGGGGACGGGGGCAGCAACGGCTGCGGCCCCGAGAGTCGAATCGGCAACTCATAGTTCGAACTGGCGACTCATAATGAAACTTGCCGAAATCGCCCTGTGGGGGCGGCAGCGGCGACCGCCCCGGGGGCGGCAGCGGTGACCGCCCCGGGGAATATGTTTAGCGACTCCCACCCCCAAGGAAGTTCTGATAGACATGTCCAGGACTCTGTGGCTGAAGTAGCGTGTGCGTCGAAGCCACAAGAGGGCTGGCTACGTCGGAGAGTTAGGTAGGGGGGTGGGGGTTTCGCGTATTTTGTTTTCTTAATAGTTCTGGGAGCAAACGATTCCACAGCGTACTGGTCGTGAAGAGGCGCGATGGAAATCGTGGGACGCGAGCTGAGCGGCGGCCGGGTGTCAAAGGTCGCGCGCACAGAGGCATGCATCCCCCCTTTAGCTACGGCCTTCTTCGTATTGCAAATAAAAGAATTTATCCAAAACAACTCTCTCTCACAGCAGACAGGCTCGACACAGGTGCGAACTGGCGCGTGCTAGTACTATCACCGGCACACCTAAATAAAAGAACGTGGGGCTCCTCGCCTCTCCAACGCCGCCTCTTCTCCATCGCCATGCTCTCCTTCGCCGCCGCGCTCTCTTCTTTGGCGCCACCGCCGCCGCCGCGGCTGCCTCTGGAGGGCGGGACGCCCAGCTGCCAAAGCCTCGACTTGCCGCCCAAGTCGAGGGCAGTGTTCTCCGTGTTTGGAGGGTCAAACACGCAAGGTGCGAACGCCGTCTCGCTAAACGCCCGCGGCGGTACGAATTACGGCCGCGCCAACCCGTCGTTTGCGAGGCTGCTAGCCGACAGGCTGCGAGACACGCATATTGCAAAGTGGAACGCTGACGGCGGCTCTGGCCCGCTTCTGGCCGGCACGTGCGCCAGCCTATTCATTCCTCCGGACACGCGGCTGGGAACGATCGAGTACCTGCCCAATTTGGGGTACATACATGAGGATCAGGCTGAAGTGGGCTCAATCAAAGCTATGCTGCACATGCTGCACGCGCGCGGCGCGTTCGCCTTTGTCGTCAACATTGTCAGTGGCCGCAAGCGCTTCGAGAATGAGGCACGAGGTTCAAGACAGGCGTCGCAGTGTATCAGGCTGAACTTTAGCGAGAACGTGGTCGGCTGCACAGGCCGAGATCGGCTCTTTGCCTTCCGCGACAAGCTTGCCCTTGCAGCCAACGCCACGGGCGCCCACGTCGTCACCATCGATGCGGACGAGGTGCCACATCTTTTCGGCGCTGACTCCTTTCACCTGAACGCTGAGGGCCACCGGACTGTCTTCAACTCGATTTGGCGAATCTATCGCTCGCTCCCGTGCATGGCTCGTCACGATCGTGCCGCACGCACCCAAATAAGCGAGGAAGCCGGCGTATCGTGCGCGCTCGGCGACGAGCTCGCGCCGCTGGTGGGCGAGGCCGCTGGCTTTGAACGCACCGATCTGCAGCCCGGAAGGGTCGAAAAGGTCGGGTGGGCGGCCAGGCAGCCCAACGCCTCGCTTAAGTTTTGCATCCGGCTGCCGCGCAAGGAGAAGGAGGCGCACGAAGCGGAGCTGAAGAACCGCATCTTTCTGAATTCCAAAGATGCAATGAAGATACCGCTGACGGCAGGCTTCCCTTACCGCATTTCGGTCGGCCTGCAGGCGAGTCATCCCCGCAACCACCCACTGTTTGGCGTTGCCCAAGTCGACTGCACAGGGTCATGCAACTGCATGTGCGCCGACGCGCCGAGGTCTAAGCCGGGCTGCCGGTTCGACACGCTCTCAAACACGTCAGCGGTGACCATCACGACGTACCTCAACCTGAAAGTGTCAGAGGCGGACCCTGCTGTGCCAGCGCTCGCCGCACAGGCAGGGTGCCCCGCAGACGCGTGCGTCTTGCAGGTCAGGAATGCAGCCGACAACCTGAGCGCAGCCAGTGATGGTCACGGCGAGCGCTCAAAGGTGGTCGTCCGCGCGCTCATCGTTGGCCTGAGCGATTTTCGCACGCTGCACATGATGGGCTTGCGCAACGCCGCGATGAACAATGCGCGGCGAGAATAGGAGGCCTGTGAGGCTGAGAGGGCGCTATCTATGCGCCAACAATAGCGCAACTGTTAGGCCCAAAGTTAATGTTAAACAGCTCTAGTCACCGGTGTGCAGTGATGGCGCCAATTACTGGTAAAAGAGTGGTATTTACCACTGATGGACTTATTTGATTCTCCTGGGGAGTGGTATGGTATGAGCAGAGAGTGGTATGGTAAATTACGAAACTCCGTGGAATCAATTTTTCGGGCTCTGAGCCGAGTCTGAGGCTGGTTTGCGGCCAAATTCAGCCAAATTTTGGCAAAATACCGCTTACCGGGGGCATTTTGCCGATTTCTCCGATTTTTGTCAGATTTTGCCTCAGAAGTCGTGGTAAATCTTACCACCGTTTGATTGTTTTGGCCGTAGAGTGTTTGATTGTTCTGGGGGGCTATACCAGTAAATATGGCCATCACTGGACACTGCCGGTGTTGACCGATCGAGCGATCGTGGGGATCGAGGTAGGTGGGTCTGGGGGGCTGGGGGGCCGCGCGCCTGCCCCGAAACTAGGTGTTACCTCACACGGTCTATTGCAGAGACCAGGAGGGCCCACAGCACACACACCAAGAGTACATGTGCTGCACTGGACATCAGAGGGCCAAGGGTTGGATCAAGCAGTGGGAAGGGACTCGAGGTGACGCGCGAGCAGAGACCTACGCCTCCACGCGCTCCACACCGCCGCGCCGATCTTCGCGCGGGCGGCGCGCATGCGCACCCAGGCCGCTCGCGCGCCGTCGCGCAGAGTCGCGCGTTGCTGACGCAAGAGGCCGTGGGCGAGCTGCTCACTTGATCACAGGAGCAGCTGCAGGTGCCGCAGCCTTGTGCTGCCGGAAGTTCT